CGCAGCAGGGCGACATCATCCTCGCGGCTCTGCACGGAGGTAGCGACCCATCATCGCCATGTATTAACAAACCTGATCCCATGATTGTCACAGCAATCGCACGGACTGGCTCGGAAGAGCTGCGCCTCTCGAACCGATCCAAGCGCGGTTATGCCGCTGAATACGGCGCTGGCCCGTGGCATCTTAATGGCCTGGCGCTTTGCAGGGCAAGTGGTCGAGACGCACCCTCATTCCGCGGGCAATCTTCTTTCAGAGGCTCCTTATCAGGAAGTGAACCAGCTGACGACACCAAGGCTGCTGGATCCGCCCTTGCCCAGCTGTCCAGCAGCGCGCTGTCTGGTCACGAACAACGCGATAGGTGGCTCTTCCGGTCCACCTCAATGCCACATCCGGTATCTCCGCAGCGGAGCCGGGCTTCATTAATACATTGGCGTTCTGTTTCTGCTGCCAGTAGTCTGCGCTGGTGCAGTGGGCTGAATGCCTAGCGATCTCCGCGACAATGACACTCAGTTCCGAGGGACTGTTTCAGTTCAAGCTTGTCCCCTACTTTGAGGCTAAACACGTTTGCGGTCCGTTGTGCCTATCAAGACCTCTACATGAAATCGTTTCTTCGGTCTGCTTAACGTAAGATCCGCGATGCCCTGGGGCCGTGGAGACACACAAATCTAACATTCGTTATCTACATTGGAAAGGTACTAGCCAATACCCCTAAAACCAAGTCCTGCGTCTGCGTGGGCCAAAGGCCTCCGGGGAGTGTCCTACCCAGCGTGCTGCTGCCCTTCATGAAGTCGCTCACGGCTTCACATATAATCGGCGATTTCTCTCGATTAACCGGTCAATCTCGCCATACTGTAAACATTGAGACTTTCTTCGCTAATAGGCCATTCGGTCGGGGCGAAGCGAGATGTTGGGCGATGAACTAGTATCGACGAGCGGGTCGATGGAGGTGTTCAGCGGATACGCCTCCAGAGAGTTCAAGTAAACGGTGCGCCCGCAACAATCGTGTGTGCGCGCTATGATGACGCCTGCAAAATACTCGCAGGAGTTCCAGGCATACCGAGGCGCTGTGAAATATAACCGAATTCTAAAAGCCGCATTTCACCGTATTACTAGCGACCGCCCCTTATTTTGGTTGGGCTAATTTGGTCTTGCACGGCAAATCCCCTGCTAATTCGACCATATCTCGTCGGGACAATCGCAATGCGACACTTTGGCACAGTGTGCTTAAGCAGACAACCGCACCGCCTAGTAAAACTCAAAGAACTTATCGTCCAATTAGTTCTTCAGTTCTCATCCAATCACGACGTGGGGGGGGGCCTTATTGTGGCAGTATTGACTTTGCTGCGTGCTACGCCAGCGCTTTCGACAAATCTGCCAGCAGGTCATCGACTTCTCGATTCCCTACCCCCCCATCCCCCGTCCATACCCCCCTTAGTCCCGGTAACCCGATACCCCGTTACGCGCCCACCCGGTGAATGCGGCAACTCAACCTTCCGTCACCCCCAGATCCCCGATGGCAAAACACTGGGATTTTTCGAGGAAGATGGGGGAAAGATAAGAGCAAGGGGAAGTGTCCCGCCCCGGAGAGAAAAGGATTTATCCCGCCCTATATAGGGGCCCCAGAGGGTGTGGGACATGGGGATGTCCTGAGTTGTAGGATCCTCCAATGTGAGATCTTGCCCCCCGCTGGGATAATGGAAGGTTTTAACGAGAATAAACCCTTAATGGTCTCATTCTCTCGAAACTATGGAGCTTAAGACGCGATTTTACAGATAGCGAGGTGCAGTGAGACAGAAGCGGATATCCCCTACACGAGATCCTGGAGACAACGTCTCACCTGGGGGGGCTGGCCGTGGGGGGTTCCCCTCTACAGGTAATAGCGCCGGGCGGCGGGGGGGCCGACGATCCCGTGGGGGGGCGCTAAGAGGAATGAGAGAAGAAAGGTCGTTCCGCTGCGTTAGTGGCGGGTCCCACCGCCCCAACTCTGGGGGCTGTCAGGGCGTCTGGCCCTTTCACTTCCCCGCTCGAAAGACTGTGGGTCAGGGGTAGACTGGCACGGACAACACAGGAAGCGAAGCAATTACCTGGGCTCGCTTCCGAGCGGTGTGGGAATCGATTCCCCCCCAGAGAGGGGGGGTCTCCCCTCAAGGGTATTGGCGTCCCCACGCGGCCCTCCTCCCAACCCGGGTCCCGTGGATGGTCCCCAACCTTTCAATAACCGAGATACACGCAGCATTTTGTCGGGCGTCCGTGTGTCGGGCGCTTCGACTGAGGCGCGATGCTCTATCAGGCTCTCGGTGCCGCCAGACTTGTGGCGCGAGTGAACAATCGCCAGTTTGGCAGCAACCTCCATAGCTTGATGCCGTCCCGCCCACAACCTGAAACGAAGCGCATGCCACCGAAGTCCCGACCAATCTGCGCCGATGCGACTGCTTGTGCCGCTTGCGCTGCCAGTCCGGGGTAGTGGACAGCTTGCACACACGGGGATGCTCGCTGAGGAAAGCGGTCACGGCACGGGCATTCTCGGACGTGAGCGCAACATTTCGCAGATGATGCAGCTGGCGGATGCGCGCAACGTCAGCCAGCAGTTCGACGCCGAAGGCACCGCGCCATAAGCGACCCCCGCACCCGCCTCACTTTGTCGAAGAAGGCATCATCGCTCGCGGATATGACCGCCCGCCCGTCACATCGCTGTGTCCTGACAGATATACGTCGTCGTCGAGTGAACTACCGCATTCCGCGCCAAGTCCGATAGGTCTGAGACATCGGCGTTGCCCAGGTGTTTGTCGCAGACGCCAGAGCGCGCCGCCTCGTGTGCAATCGCGGCAGTTCGCCTGATGTCCGTCACCTTCAGCATCGGATTGGATGGAGTCTCCACCCAGACAAGGCGAGTATTAGGTTGCATCGCCTGCTGTACCTGCTCGGAGTCGGTGACATCGGTGAAGGTAATCTGCAAGCCCCAGCGTGCGAACACATCCCGCAGCAGCGCCGCCGTGCCGTGATAGCAATCGTTGGGTGTTACCACGTGGTCGCCGCTTTCAAGCGCCTGAAACACTGCCGCGCTCGCCGCTGAGCCGGACGAGAATGCAGCACATGCCGCGCCGCCCTCCAGTGTTGCGAGGATGTCTTCCAGTTGGCGGCGGTTGGGGTTACCTGAGCGCGAGTAAATATATCCGCCCGGGTATTCGCCGTCCTCAGAACGCTCGAAGGTAGTAGAAGGCTGAATTGGCGCAAGTATCGCGCCTGACTCCGGGTCGATGTGGTGGCTGGCGCGCGCCGCGGCGGTCTCGATTTTCACTGGGCCATGAAATCGTACAAGGGCACGACGCCGGTCGGGCGAGAGTCGTTGCTAAGCATCTCATCGATGCGCTGCGCCGCAAGCGAACTCAGCAGGGTATCATTGCAGATATCGCACACTTCGGCAGGCACATTGTCGAAAACGATTATTCGTTCATTGTGCCGGGTTGTATGCACAATGTATTGCTGTTCGTATGTGCCCGGACATCCTTCGATGGTGCAGTCCATAATCACTTTCCTCGCTGGAACGGCGCGATCCATTTCAGGATTTGCGGCTCGTAAATGGTCAAAGGCTGAATGGGCGTAAGTATAGCGCCCGATTTAGGACCGATGTGACGGCTGGCGTGTGCCGCTGCGGTTTCATTGTTCATGGATTAGGGTGGATTTGCTAGATGGCATACCGGACAATCTCCAGTTCCGCTCCGGCATCCACATCCTTGATAATGTTCTCCACACGCTCCATGACCGGGTCATCGATCAGGTATTGACCACAATTGGCACATTCATCAACTGGCATCTGTCTTATGATGACAATGGAGGTGCTAGACACTTTGAATGGCATGTCTGTAACAACGGAAGACGTTTTGCTGCCACATACGTGACACGTCATACCCTTCGCCTCCTTGTCCTCATATCGCTTTCCCATTCTACAAGATTTGGAGAATAGGCTGTGACGACGCGTACATTGTCGCCATAGACATCTACGGCGAACAAAACATGAATCACCAGGCTGCCGTATCGTGAGTACACAAGGTAGCTGGGGAGATACTTGTCGTCAGGGTATTCCTCAATAACCTCAAAAGCATTTACGGAATCAATTATAGTTTGTCTGTCTATTGTCCTGTCCCGCATTTGCATGTCTGCGTGATAGGTCCATCTCAGCTTGCGCTCGTTCACACAGCGTTGAATGAACTCAAGCGAGAGTTCTGGCAGCACCTTTCAATCCACTACAACCCAATCCCATTCGCCACCGTCTCCAAATGGAAGTCGGTATCGCCGAAGGCAAGTTCCGCTGCTTTGGCTCGGCGCGAGTAGAGCTGCATGTTGTGCTCTTTGGTGAAGCCGATTGCGCCGTGGCACTGGTGTCCAAGCGCGCATATTCGGCGGTACGCGTCGCTCACCCATGCCTTAGCCATCGCCACTTCCTGAACTGCGTCATCGCCCTCGGACAGCCTCCACGCCGCCTGATAGGTGATGTAGCGCGAGCCTTCGACATCGGTCGCCATGTTGGCGCAGTGGTGCTGAATCGCCTGGAAAGAGCCGATGGGCCTGCCGAACTGGGTGCGCTGCTTGGCGTACTCTACGGTCATGTCCAGCACCTGCTCGCCGCCGCCGACCATCTCGGCGCACTTGCCGATCGCCCCCCATGCGAGCACCTTCTCAACAGAATCCCAGCCCTTGTTGACTTCGCCAAGAACGGCGGACGCGGGCAGGCTGACATTCTCGAATACAAGCTCCGACTGCCTGTCGGAAGCGATCGTCTTCAGCAGCGTTTGGCTCACGCCGTCAGTTCCGCGGGGCACCAGGAATAGCGTGATATCCCTTTCGCCGTCGCCCGTGCGCGCCGCAACAACATAGGTGTCGGAAACATGCGCGTTCGGCACGAACAGTTTGACGCCGTTCAGAACCCAGCCGTCGCCACTCTGTGAGGCGGTCATCTGAATGCCTTCGGCATCCCAGCGGGCGCTAGGCTCGGTGAGCGCGAGCGTCACGATAAGCTGCCCTTCGCTGATCTGCGGCAGGAGCTCTTGCTTCTGCTCTTCGGAGCCGGCATCCATAATTGTCATGCCGCCCATGACGACCGTCGAAAAGAACGGCCCCGGCAGCAACGCTCGTCCCGTCTCTTCCAGCAGCACGGACAAGTCAAGATAGCTAAGTCCCACGCCGCCGTACTGTTCGGGGATAATCAGTCCCAGCCAGCCCTGCTCGGCGACCTTCTGCCACATCTCGGGTGTGTAGCCGCGCTCGTCCTCTTCCATTTCCCGCACATAGGTGTCCGGGCACTCAGCCTGCAGGAACTCTCGCGCGCTGTTCCTGAGCATCTGCTGCGTTTCGTTCAGTCCAAGGTCCATTTATCGTGTTCCTCCGTATGCTGAAGCAGCACAAGGTTGCTGCGTGTACTGATTGTTCTGTTGAAAGTAATGGTCAGAAAGTGATTCATTGGGATTAGCGCGGCAGCTCCAGCCCCCTCGTCGCTATGACATTACGATTGATCTCCGATGTGCCCGCCGCAACCGTGCCACCGTGCGAGCGCATCCAGCCGTTCTCGATGCGTCCACGCAGCGGTGCCCAGCTCGACTCCGGGTCAAGCTGACCGTACAAACCCATGACCTGCATGCCGAGGCTGTACAGCCGTATCATCATCTCAGTGCCGTAAGCCTTCGTAATGGACGCCTCGCGGTTGGGAATCATATCCTGGCTTTGCATCCATGCGACGGCGTAGCACATAAGGCGGCAGGACTCGATTTGCACTGCCATCTCCGCCAATCTCTGCCGGACAGTAATATCCTCTGCCAATGGCTTGCCGTTTCGCTCATTCTCTTGCAGAAGCCGACGATATCCTCCAGCAGACGCTTCGCCCTTGCGGGGCGGTCAACGCCGGAGCGCTCGAAGTCCAGCAACGCTGCGCCGACATACCAGCCACGATTGAGTTCGCCGACGAGGTTCTTCTTCGGCACTCGCACATCCTCGAAGGTTACGAGTGCGCGATGAGCGTCCCACATCATCGGTATCTTCTCGACAGTGACGCCCGGCTGCTGCATCTCGGTCAGGAGGAAGCTGATGCCGCGATGCTTGGGCGCATCGGGGTCGGTTCGCGCAAGCATGAACATCCAGTCCGAGCCTGAGTGCGCGCCGTTCCATATCTTGGAGCCATTAATTACGAAGTCGTCGCCATCCTCGACTGCGCGTGTCTGCAGCGATGCGAGGTCTGATCCTGAGTCTGGTTCGGAGTAGCCCTGCGACCAGTCGATATCGGCCTGCGCGATGCGCGGCAGGAAGTATTGCTTCTGTTCCTCCGTGCCGTAGAGCATCAGGATGGGGCCGACCATGCGCACACCGGAATCACCTGCGGGGACACCCCTGTACGCCATCTCTTCGTTGAAGATCATCTGTCGGATGTGAGGCGCGGCCTGTCCGCCGTATTCTTCGGGCCAGGCCATAGTCAGCCAGCCGTTGCCGGCGAGTTTCCTCTTGAACTCACGCACCAGCCCAGAATCCCCCGGCTCCTCGGCATCAACGGCGCGCTCGCGCCAGTCCCACGGCAGTTCGCTTTCGACGAAGTCGCCTACCTCTTGCCGGAAGGCATCATCGTCGGAGCTGAAGCGGAAGTCCATCTGTTCACCTCGAAATCATTTCAGTCAGTCAGCGCTCTACGGGTCGTCTGAAACTCCGACTAACTACTAGCGCGGCAGTCCAAGTCCGCGCGTCGCGATGATATTGCGCTGAATCTCAGATGTCCCCGCTGCAATCGTGGCGGATACCGACATCATGTAACTCTGTTCGATGCGACCTTGAAGCGGTGAATGCTTCGAATCCGGCTCCAACTGCCCGTACAGCCCAAGAATCTCCATGCCTGCGCGAGCCACTGCTTGCTGCAACTCCGTGCCGAAGCTCTTGCCCATCGAGGATTCCTTGTTGGGCACGAGACCCGCGCTCTGCATCCACGCTATCTGGTAGGAGATAAGGCGGCTTATCTCGGTCTTGACCGTCAGGTCCGCGAGCTTGCGGCTGATTTTCGGGTCGTCTATCAGACGCCTTCCGTTGCGCGAATTGTCCTTGCAGAACTGAATCAGCTCCTCGAGCGTGCGCTTGGTGCCAGCCGAGTATTCGACGCCGGAGCGTTCGAAGTCGAGCAGCGTCGCGCCCACATACCAGCCTCGATTGAGTTCGCCGACGAGGTTCCTCTTTGGAACGCGCACATCGTCAAAGACGACCATGTTGAAGCTATGGTTGTTCGCCATGTTTATGATGGGCCGGACTTCCACGCCCGGCTGTTTCATGTCCGCAAGCAGGAAGCTGATGCCACGATGCTTGGGCGCGTCCGGGTCGGTGCGCGTCAGCACCATCACGTGATCGGCGTGGTGCGCGTTGGAAGTCCATATCTTCGTGCCGTTCACTACGAAATCGTCGCCGTCCTCGACCGCGCGCGTCTGAAGCGATGCGAGGTCCGAGCCGGACTCAGGCTCCGAGTAGCCCTGGCACCATTGCACTTCACCTCGTGCGATGGGCGGCAGGTACTCGCGCTTTTGCTCCTCAGTGCCGTGGATCATCAGTGTGGGCGCGAGCATCTTCGTGCCGAACTGATCGCGTCCCGGAGCGCGCTGGTAAGCCATCTCTTCCGCGAATACGAGCTGCATCATGTGAGATGCGCCGCTTCCGCCGTACTCTTCCGGCCATGCCATCGTGAGCCAGCCCTTGTCAGCCAGCTTCTTGCGCATTTCCAGTTCGAAGTCCCAGTCGTCGCCCTCTTCCTCTCCGCCGCCGGTCCAGCCATCGGGAAGCTCCTTTGTAAGGAATTCGCGCAGTTCGACGCGAAATTTCTCTTCCTCAGCCGTGAATTTGAACTCCATTAGACTTCCTCCACTTTACTCAGTAGCTAATGTGACAACCCGCTCGTCGTGGTCAGCTTGTCGAACCAACTGCCAGCCGACAGGCTTGGAGCGAACGGAGAACTTAGACGCTGCCAACCGACAGGCAGGTTACGGTGCGCACGATGCCGTTGATGATGTGGATACGGCTCGTGACCATATCCCCGATCGAGTTCAGGTCGGGCGCGACCACGACAGCGATGATGTCGTACGGTCCGGTGACCGCGTCAACCGATTCAATGCCGTCAAGGGAGCGCAGAGTGTTTGCGACATCCCGCGATTTGCCTACCGCCGTCTCAATTAGAATATACGCTTTGGTGGACAATTGTCGTTCCTCCTACATTAGGTGTGGCAACCAATGAAAATCAAACCCGAATGAGCAAAGATAACCAGCTGCCACAATCACAGGCACTTGAGGGTACACAAAAGACCTTGCAGTGCCTATTGCCCTAGTTAAATATTAAATGCCTCTGCATTTTATAAGGGCATAAGAAAGAGTGTCAAACAAACCGCGCCTCAGCGTTACGCCTGAGCGTTACGACTAAGCGTGTCGCCGTCAGCAAGGCTTCACCACTCGCCGACCATCTTCCCCTGCAACGCCTCGCTCAGACGTCAACCCTGATTTCCTGCTCAATCTGCGCGTCGAAGCGCATCCTTTCTCGCCAGAACACACTTGACCAACCACCTAACTGAGGAATTACGGGTTTGCAGGCTCGGCGTGAAGACCTCTCCGACGCTTATCCGAATGGGCCACTCCCGTGTTTCACCGCGCCGGAGCTCCAGGTCCGTATCGAGCGTCATAATGTCTTCAGTGTAATCTTGCACGGCGCTGCCGAATGCTTCGACCCTGAAGAGTTCAACACTGACTTCGGACACACTTACATCTTGCAGAATCTCGGCACGCAGGCTGCCGTCCAATCTGTCCCCGGAACAGGCGCTTCCCGTAGGCAGATTTAAGGTAAGAGCGCACCAGTTGTGCGCAGCCTCCGTGACAATCGGGCTGGATGGCGCGTCACTGGGCATGGGCGGTCTGACTACGGTAATTTGCTGGTTGTCATGAAAATCGCGCGCGCCGGCCACATCCAGGGAGGTTGTAACCGTCCAAGTTATGCCCACATCAATGGAGCGCATAATTGCGCCTCTTACTGTAGGCAGCGCATCTGGCGGCACGACTACATTGACGTCGGCATAATAGGGCAGGCCGCGGCGCACGGCTGTGCCATCTATGAAGACTTTCTCGTCTCGGCTTAGGACTTGCGTCGCCTTGTGGCGCTGTGCGCCGTACCGAGAATGATGTATAAGTTCCTCATACGTTTCCAAGCAAACTAAATCAAGACTCCCGCGCCGCACCTGAAAGCCATCCCGAGGGATGAGCGACACTCGAACATTCAATTCGTCGCCGGGTTGAAGTGTGGTCTCGCTTAGCTCAACCCGGAAGTCGGCCGCAGGCCGCCGGAATCGTGAAAGCATACTTTCACTTCGCCTCGTATATTCTTATTCGGCATCATAAGTTCTTCTCACGTTAACGGAAAGACCCCACCGCAAAGCGTAGGGTCTCTTTATTGCCTGTTACATTCGGTCTATATCCGTTTCGCTGTGAACGAAGCCAATATACAAGTCCCCATTCGCCACAAGCCGATATGCGATGTACAACTCCCCGTCCGTGAAAAGTACCATGTCCGAGGCATGGCGCGCTTGTGCTCACCATCTACTTCAGGATCGAACAGAATTGAGAATAGAGTAATCCATGCCAGTATCCCATACTTGATTAGCGACTCTTCAGCATTATCGGATAATAGCAATTCAGCAACGTGGTCGTTAGCCAATCCCTAGATCCCTCAGCCTCCGCTTGATTTCGTCAATCGGTATGCTGACATACTCCCCCCTCGCTCTATCTGATCAAACCCCTCCTTTACCTTAGCCTGCACGGCTGGGGACTCGAACTTCTTGAACGCGGCGTCCAGCCTCTCTTTTGGAACGTGCTTTCCATTCCATACGCCCATCCGACTTCCCCTTCCATTCTGTGCCCTTGCATCCAAATAACGCAATTCACCTGTTTTCTTGGCGTGTCTATCTTGAAACGCCCACGCAGTCCGATTATCCAGCCCGACTATGCAGCCATTGTAGCACGAGCAGAATGGCCCACTACCATCACCGCAAAGGACGGAAGAACGACCTCAGATCCTCCACCAGTGCCTCCGGCTTCTCCATCGCTGCGAAGTGCCCACCGTCAGGCATCTCGGTCCATTGCTGAAGGTTGAACACGCGCTCCGCCCATTCACGCGGCGGGTATCCGATGTCCTTCGGGAAGCGCGCAACGGCAGATGGCGGCGTGATTTTCTCGCCCTTCTTCATGTTCAGCGGCGCAGCTGCGACTCGTAGTATATTCGCACCGACGAACTTATCGTCTGCGTCACCCAGTAGATGGTGATGTTCGTCAGCAGCTCGTCCTTCGTATAGACGCTCTCCACATCGCCGTTGCAGTCCGACCATGCGCGGAACTTCTCGACTATCCATGCCGCCAGTCCGACAGGGCGAGTCCATCAGCCCGTAGGACAGTGTTTGCGGCTTTGTTCCCTGTATATGACCGTATGCCCCCTCGTCCTCGCGCCACTGCGCCCGCGCACGATGGAACTCCTTCTCAGCATCGGTCAACGGCGGCGAGTCGTCATCTAGGTGCGGTGTCGCCGACACTGCGGTAACGTGTACGCCGATCATCCTGTCCGGGTGGGCGTACCCAAGCCGCGCCGTAACGCCCGCGCCCCAGTCTCCGCCGTGCGCTCCGAACTTGTCGTATCCCAGCACATCCATGAGACTTACCCACATGTCGCCAACGCGGGAGACGCTCCAGCCCCTTTCAGTCGTGCGGTCGGAGAAGCCGTAGCTCGGCATCGAGGGCGCAATCACATCGAATGCGTCTTCGGCGTTGCCACCGTGAGAGGCGGGATCCGAAAGCAACGGGATTATCTTGTACATCTCGAAGAATGTGCTCGGCCATCCGTGCGTTATCACCAGGGGTATCGGGTTCGGTCCCTTGCCACGCTCGTGGATATAGTGGATGCCCATGCCCTCCACATCGGCGCGGAACTGCGAGAAGCCGTTCAGCATCGCCTCCTGCTTGCGCCAGTCGAATTCGTTGAGCCAGTAGTCGGCAAGCTCCCGGACATAAGCCATATTGGAGCCGTAGTCCCAGTCGGTATTGGGGATTTCGTCGGGCCAGCGCGTGTTGGCGATGCGCTGACGCATATCATCGAGAACCTCATCGGGAATGTTTATCTGGAATGGTTGTATTGCCATGAGCGCCTCTCCTTTTGTGAACTATGTCCTCATTTGCTTCGCGAAATAATTCGTCGGATTTGAGCGTCAGAAGCCTACCCCATGCCGCCTGTCCTGTCCATCCTTCTACCCGCCGTGTCAGCCCGTCCGCGCCGATCTCTTGGTCGGCTTCTTTGCAAACAGGAACATCACGCCTCCAATGAAGTTCAGCGCCGCAAGCGACAGGAAAGCAAAGTCGTAGCTTCCCTGCATGTCGTGCAGAATCGCGGGATATATCGGTGCCCCGAGCAGCATTATGTTCATCGGCACCTGCGACATCCCCATAATCTTGCCGAACGAGCTTCGTCCGAAGTATTCGCCGCGGATGGATGTGCTTATAGGATTCCGCCCTCCGAAGCCGATCCCGAACATAATCGCAAAACCGAAGACTACTGCAAGACTGGGGACGCCTAGCACCACTGACAACTCAGGCACGAACACCAGGACCACCACAGCGCCCGCCTGTATCGAAGTGAAGCACGAAGTAAGCGAACCGCTTAGAGATCACGTCGCCCACATATCCGCCGACAATCTGGAAAATCATGGACATCGCCGTGTATGTGGACACCACCCATCCCGCCATGGGCACCGACACTCCCTGGTCCCAGAGCATCGGCGCGAGATGCGCCATCATCGCAATCAGCACCATCGAAGTGAAACCCTGTCCGAAGGATATGAGCCAGAATGTAGGCGTGTAGAGCGCATCCTTTAAGGTAAAATCCTCGTCCGATGGCGGGGCGCGTCTGGCTGCGGGTCGCCCCGTGCGGCCTGCACTTGGCGCATCCCTTGGTTCATCCCTGGGCGCGTCGCCGTCCGGCATCAGACCGTAGTCTTCGGGACGGTTGCGTATGAGCCTGGAGAGGGGTATGACTATCACCAGCGTTGCGATTCCGAGCAGCATCGCGGTCATCGACCATCCGAAGTTGTTCTGCTCCGGGTCCACAGCCCAGGCGATAGCCGGAATCAGCACCAGCGCTCCGAGCCGACCGATCGCGCTGGAGTAGCCCATCGCCTTCGCCTTGTGCCGCGTGAACCAGTTGTTCAGCATTGTGTTCATCGTGAGCCAGCCGCTCAAGCCCTGCCCCAGGGCCATTATCATGAACACCAGATAGAACATGAGCGCAGGCTCTACGATCCGCATGAAGTCGGGCAGTAATTCGAAGGGTAAATCCCGCAATACGGGAATATCTTTGGTGTCGCGCACCTGGCTCATCAGCAGGAATCCAACGCCCAGGATGCTCAACCCGATGAGCACCATCCGCCGCACACCCAGCCTATCTACCAGATAGCCCTCGACCGGTCCCAGTACTCCGCCCTCAATGCGCGTGAAGGAGAATGCCAGAGAGAGCTGCGTTCTGTTCCACCCGAATGCGGATTCCAGGGCGACGAACCACAAGCCCATGGCATGGAACAGGGGCACGCTGGTCGTCATATGCACAATGCCGCTGATGGGTACAAGCCACCAGCCGTAGAAAACTCCGCGCATACGGGATCGAGCCTGCGACGGCTTAAATGCTCCCACGCCAAAAGCCAAAATATCCCTCCTCCGACAAAGACACAGTGAGTCGCCGCAACCTCAAGAGTCTATCACACACTCCTCGAAAATCAGGATGGCGTGGAGCAGGCACGAGCCTGGCGCACAGCGATGCGGACGGCGCCTCATCTGCGCCGTGCCGAAGATCGACCGGCCGTTGCTTGCACAATACGCACGCCTATATTATATTGAGCGGACACGCGACAACTTTAACTCCTTGCAATCTCTTGTCAAAATTTCAATAGATTTGGGCCACGAAGAAAACAGGGCCATGCCAAACGGATACTACGCAGGAGGCTACGATGACTACCCCTCAAAACGAATCGCTGCAAGCCATAAAGGAGTACGCCGACGACTACGATCTTGACCTGTCGTGGCTGGACACGCGTGGCGAGTGGGGCATCAAGGCTGCACCTGACCCTAAGCGCGGCATGACGCTATCTAGCATTGAGATAGGCTCGTACGGCGAGGCACCGGACACCACCGATAACATGACCGGCAGGCCTCGCGGCGCGGCTCAGCGCCCTGACGCATATCGCATCGGCGGCTATGGCGTGCGCACGAAGTCCGAAATCTGGCTGGACAACGCAGCAGCGCTCTACGAAGAGTCGTTGCAGCGCCAGTGGAGTTCGGCGACAGACATCCCCTGGCACACCATCAAGCCGCTGCCGGACGACATAGAGCGCGCCCAGTGCCAGCTCGACACCTTCCTCACGGAAGTGGAGTTCGTCGCCGCGGACATCCCCGCACGCTGGGTGGCAACGACCAGCCCCGACTACTTCGAGCCGCGCATGTTCCTGCTGTCGCAGATAATGGACGAATCGCGCCATCTCGATGTGTTCCGCAAGCGCGCGCTCGCCAATGGCGGCGGACTGATGCAGCGCCCCGACATCACCACCAGCGGCGTCGTTGGCAGCATCGACCTGTCGCGCGAATTCACCGAGATGTCCTCTCGCCTCCATATCTCCGGCGAGGGTGCTGTGCTGACGCTTTTCCGCATGGGCGAGCTGATGTCATACAACGAAGCCGAAAAGCGCATCTACCGCCTCGCCGCACAGGACGAGTCGCGGCATGTCGCCTTCGGCGTGATGCACATGCGCTACCTGTCCGAGACTGAGCCGGACCGCCGCGAAGAGATTCACTGCTACCTCGATGAGGGCGAGCGCGGTCTGCTCGCGGGCAACCAGAATCCCGCGGCGATAGACACTCCCAGCAGCGAGGCTATGGCGATCCTGCTCGGCGGCGGCATCAACCAGTACGACGAAGGCGCGCGCAAGCTGATGGCGATTCGCCGCCGACAAGTGCGCGAGTATGTACAGCGCATCCGCTCCGCAGGCTTCGGCGAGCGCTTCGACAACGGTCGAGCCGATCCGCGCCTGTTGCAAATCATGTGGAGCTAACCCCAAGAAAAACTCCCTTCCCCCTTGATGGGGGAAGGCTAGGATGGGGGTGGCCTCCATAGACGAATCTCCCTTCCCCCTTGATGGGAGGAAAGCTAGGATGGGAGTGACCTCTCCCTATTGAAGGAATGCATGCATGGCAGAAACCAAGCAGGCTGACGAACAGGAACAGGAAGAAAAACTTCAGGCATCCGCTGCCCGCGTGGCCGAGCGCGAAGCGGGCAGCGACAATGATAGCGAAGTGGAAATTGCTCCACCGAACCTGTCTTGGATGCAGAATACGCTCCAGTGGGGCACACGGGCGAAGCCAACAAAGAATGGGCTGACCATAGATGCGCTCAATATCGGCGTCTATGGCGATGTGCCGGACTTCTGGGACGACCAGACACGCAAGCCGCGCGGCGCATACCCGATTCCCGGCGTCGCTCCGCTCGGCTTCGAGGTGCGCGAGAAGCGCGAACTCTGGGCAGACAACGCCGCAGACCTTTACGAAGAGGCGATTCAGCGTCGGTGGGCGCCTGCGACAGATGTGCCCATGGAACACCATTCAGACCTTGCCCGACGACGTTGAGGCTGCTATGTGCCAGCTCTGCACCGAGCTTTCGCAGTACGCCAGCATCGAGATTGAGGTCATTGGCGGCTGGCAGCAGAAGCTCTCATACGGCTTTCACGAGGTCAAGCTCTTCCTTGCCACGCAGATGTTCGACAACGCCCGCCACTTCGAGGCGTTCCGCAAGCGCGCCCTCTCCAACGGCGGCGGCCTGGGCTTAGAGAACAAGGGCGAGGTCAATCGCATGCTGCTGGAGAGCACCGGCGGTTGGCCCGAGACGGTAGTCATGCTGCACATGCTGCGCGGCACGTTCATATTCATGCTGTACCGCTACGGCGAGCTTTTCGCGCACAACCCCGCCGAGAAGGTGCTGTTCGCGCGCTGCCTTCAGGACAAGGCGCGGCACCTCGCTTATGGTCTCGCCCACTTGCGATACGCCACCTCCCATAACCCCGACAAGATCATCGTTTTCGGACGGCTGATGAACATCGCCGAGCGCGTGTTCGAGCGCGAACTCAAGGACCCTGTGCTGAGAGAGGCGCTGGCTATAATCTTCGGCGGCGGCATCGAGGGGGCGCAGAGCGGCATGCGCCAGTACGAGCGCATGATGGGCGACTTTGCCCGCCAGTACCTCGCCAACATGGAGCACATCGGCGTGCGCCGCGAAGAGGGCTTCCCGCCGGCACTAGCGAAGTTTATGGAGGCTTAGGCTGTGCCACAGTTCCCATCAGTAGAATGGTTCGAGCAGGTGCGCGAAATCTTCAACGGGGAAGAGGCTTATCAGGAAGCGGGCGGCGGAATGTGCGATGCCACCATGGGCATCAAGGTCGCATCGCAATCTTACATCCTCGTATTCGAAGGTGAGGAATGCTCTGAAGCGCGTGAGGTCGCGGAAACCGATCTCGCGGAAGCAGACTTCTATCTCGACATGGCGTCCGACGAATGGGAAGAGATGCTGCGCAATATCAAGGACAACGATGGCGCGGGCCTCGATCACACACTCAACACGCTGGACATGGACAGATCCGAAGGCTTGGCGATTACAATGAACGGCGACCAGTACCGGCAGGACTTCTTCTACCGCTACAACCAGACCTTCCAGTACTTCTTCGACGCCTCCGCCCGCATAGACACCGAATTCGCGCTGTCAGATTCCCCGGAGGCAGAATAGCATGCCAGAGTTCCCGTCAGTAGAGTGGTTTGAAGCCGTGCGCGAGAGCGCCAACAACGACTCACAGTTCAAGTCACAGGGCACGATAAACTGCCGCATGGGTGTCAGGGCGAGCGATGCGGTTTTCGCCATCACATTCGAGGGCTTTGAGTGTGCGGATGTCGAAGCCATCCCCGAACACGAACTGCGCGACCTCGACTTCTACATAGACCTGTCGGCGGCAGAGTGGAAAGCCTTGCTCGACAACATCGCTGCCAACGGCGGCTCCGACTCGGCACACACGCTGAACACGCTCGACCTGACATTGCCGAACGGCTGCGTCAAGTCTGACAGCGAACTGCGCCGCACGGCATTCTTCCAGTACCATCTTTCGTTGCAGGCGTTCTTCGACGCCTCCGCGAAAGTAGAAACCACCTTCGCCTATCCCGAAAGCGAATAGACACTATGCCCATCTATGAGTACAGATGCGACGGGTGCAATCACAAGTCAGACCTGCTTTGGCGCAGCTACTCGCCGCCGGACGCGATCGAGTGCAAGAGTTGGCGGCGGACGAAACTCATCGCGTGATTTCCAGCGTCGCGCTGCACAAGACGATGGGGACCAAGATGTCGGAGTTGGACTCCAAGTACGACAGAATGCTTGACGCCGCGGACTCAACCAACCCTCGCGCCGACCCCAACTACTACCTCAGCAAGGCAACACCGCTGAGCGAGGGCACGCCTGACTAGACCGTGTCGCAAAGTTCCTTCCCCCTTGATGGGGGAAGGCTAGGATGGGGGTGAAGTCTGTCAGCAGGTTGCAGGCTCTCTACAAGGTCAACCACTCTCCGCTCCACCTCATCGCGGATGCGCGCGCTCCGCAGGCTCGGTGCCCGCAGATTCGGCTTTCAGCGAGATGCCCGCTTGTTGCGCCGCCCTGTTGAATAACGCCTTCGCCATCTGGCTGCGCCCCGCATTGTGGACGCACACGAACAGAATGTCGCTCATTCTATGCCGTCGCGCGTGTCGCCATCCCGTGCGCCGCCATCCCGTGCATTCGATGCAGGCTCGTATTCGCCTAGCGCGTCCGCCGAGCCGTTGCGAGAAAGGCTGTCCTGATGCTCCGGGGGCAGTCCTGGTCTCAGCAGAAACTCATACACCGCCGCGCCTATTGGAGCGCCCACGAGCGGGCCGACGATGTATGCCCAGAAGCCGCCGGTCGGCCCCGGTATGGCGATGCTGCCCCAGCCCGCGAAGAACGCAACGATTCGGGGACCGAAGTCGCGCACAGGATTCCAGCCCGCATGGGTCAGCGGCCCGAACATGCCTATAAGTATGGCGACCGTCAGTCCCACCAGGAGCGGTGCCAGGTTGCTGTTCGTCAGCGCAGTGTTGCGCCTGTCGAACACAGCGAAGATGACAAACGCGAGAATTGCCGTGCCGAATCCCTCGATGGCTGCGGCAGCCGGCGCTGACAGCAGGGAGCGGGCGGCTTCATCTATCCCGAACGTGCCCGGGTCCGGGAAGTGCTTGCTGAATATCATCGCGGAGTATTCGCTGCCCGGCGCGCCCCGAATGTAGCCGTTCAGTCGTTCCAGGCGCTCGACGAACGGCGAAAACACGGCAAAGAGCGTCAACCCCGCAGCGAAAGCTCCCGCTAGCTGCGCCCCCCAGTAGGAGACCATCCTGCCGACAGGGAACTCGCTGCGGCGGAAGACGGCGAAGGCGAGGCTGATGGCGGGATTGAGGTGAGCGCCGGATATGGCAACGGTGGCGTAGATGCCCACTGTAACGCCAAAGCCCCGATGAATCCGACGGGCCACAAGCCGAGTGCTCCACCTGTGACTACATCGGTGGCAACCGCGCCCGCGCCAAACAGCACAAGCAGATAAGTGCCAATCGCCTCGGCTATCAGCATGCGTCCTAGCTGCATGCTCTGCCGCCCAGGTCGTGGCCCAAGTCGTGGCCCAGATCGTGATAAATATATGTTTCGGTGCGCTGCTTCATAAGACTGTGTGGTGTTGTAGGCGTCGAAGTAGGTTGCGAAAAATGTGGCGATGACTATGGCGAAGTTCTGCGTCCCAGCTGATGACAGTATTCTAAGACGCAGAGATTAACGGGGCTTTAACGCGGCCTATCGTACAAATAAACAGTACAGACAAATAGTACAAGCAAAAGAGGCGGCATGCATGCCGCCTCTTAGGTATATCACAATTTTTGGATGTTATTGTCGCGCTAAATGGCGTAGGACTCGATCATATTCTCCACCTGCCGCGAGAACGACTTGTCGTTGATGACGTCGATGCGATCCTGGAAGGAGGGCCTATCGGTGTCCTTGTAAATGACGCCCACAGGTACGCCGCCCTGGTTGATTAATTCGTGAGCGGCCTCATAGTCGCTGGGATCGTGCTGCTCCGGGATGTCCCACGCGAGTGGCGGGATGCCCTGCCGCACATTGCCCTTCAGTTCCATGAAGGTGTTGTTGTAGGTGGTGCAAGGCGACTGCACATGCACGATGGAAAAGCCCTTGTGGTTCATCGCGTCTGCAATGGTAGTGCCCAAGTCCCTGACCTTTGTGGACACATGGGATGCAATGTATGACACACCGAGAGTCAGATAGAGGGCAAGTGGGTCAAGCTTAGCTTCAGGCTTTCCGAATGGCGTGGAACTGGTGATGGCGTCCAGCTTTGTCGTGGGAGAACTCTGTCCCTTTGTAAGCCCATAAACGGCATTGTCCATAATGACGACCGTGACATCGAGATTGCGCGCTGCCTGCGGAGCGATGTGCTCGTTGCCGATGCTCAGGAAGTCGCCGTCGCCCGCTACAACGATCACATTGAGGTCGGGACGTCCCATCTTGACGCCCAGCGCAAATCGGGAGTGACCTGCCGTGAATGCCGTGAAGTCCGTAGGGCTGAGGTCCTTCAAGCAGATGAACCATATTGCCTGAGCAGCCGATGCCTGCCACGATGACATTGTTCTCTACGGGCAGCTCAGTCTCTACTCTTCGCTGCTCGATTGCGGATTCCAGGGCGCGCCGGACGCCGAAGTCACCGCAGCCTGGGCACCACTTGAAATCGTATTCCGGATTCTTGTCGCTCATACTGTTATGCTCACTTTCTGCTCTTGTTCGAGGCGCTCTGTAATGCGACTTGCGAGCTCGCCAACTCTGAAGGGCAGTCCTGTGTACTGCGTGATGGACTCTGCTTTTACGCCCTGTGATCGCAGGAGGCTGGAGAACTGTCCCAGATAGTTAAGTTCTGGCACCAGTACCAGGTCCTTCTGTCGCAGTTCTTCAAGAAGCTCGGCAGGCAGAGGGTTGAGGTACATTGTGTAGTACCAGCCAATATCAACTCCACTGTCAGCAACAGCGTCATAAGCAGACTGCGCGGGTCCCTTCGAGCCGCCCCAAGGCATAAGCGCAATGCTGGCATCCGCGTTGATGCACTCGTATGCTTCGTTCTCCAGCAGCTTGAGCTTGCTGAAGCGACGCTCCGTCATCTGGATATGGCGCTCCGGCAGATGCGTCGTGTCGCCCATGCCGTCATGCTCGCTGCCGTTGGCGATATAGCTGCCGGGACCGCCGGGCAGCGGCATCGACGAGAGTTCCCAGCCGTCATAGCGATTGTAGCCGTTGCTGCCAGTGTACGTCTTCCGGTTTTCGACTACAAGTTCGCTAAGGTCGGGCCTGGGTATGTTCTGCTTCCGCTCGGAGAGCATGTGCTCACTCAGCAGTATGACAGGACCCTGGTAACGCTCTGCCCAGTTGAATGCCATCGCTCCCGCATAGAAGCACTCTTCAACGGTGCCCGGCGCGATGATTGGCATGCTGACATCGCCGTGCCCCGGCGTCATCGCCATAAGCAGATCAGACTGTTCAGTCTTAGTGGGGAGTCCTGTTGAAGGTCCGCCGCGCTGCACATCCACGACCACCAGCGGCACTTCCGCCATCCATGCCAGCCCAAGCCCTTCGCCCATAAGAGACAGGCCGGGACCCGCCGTTGCGGTCATGGACTTCTGCCCACCGAAGCCTGCGCCCACAAGGGCGTTGATAGCCTCAATCTCCGAACTTGCCTGATACACGAACTTGCCGTTGCCGGTGAGGTTGCGCTCCATCCAGAGCAGGATTGAGGTTGCGGGCGAAATCGGGTAGCCGATGTAGAAGTTGATGCCTGCGGCGCATGCGCCGAGGGCGATCGCTTCGTTGCCGTTAATCAGAATCTGGTTGCCTTCGGGCCTATAGAGGGGGCAAGTTCTCCGAGGACGAACCCGCTCTTCTCTGCTTCCTGTCTGCCAAGCGTGAGCGCCTCGATGTTGGAGGATATTATCTGATCGTCGTTGGGGCGGCCTCTGGTGAAGCGCGCCCTAACAAAATCCTCCAGGATGCTCTGTGCCATACTGACAAGGTGTGCGAGCGCGCCTAGCACGATCATGTTTTCGGCGCGCGCGTTGCCGGTGGACTTAGCGAGGTCTGCGAAGGGCATGCCGAAGCTGCTCGCCAAGTCGTCAGGCTCAAAGTCGCCTGAGTTGTAGATGATGACGCCGCCGTCTGTCACATCGTCCCTGTGGTTCAGGTACGCCTCTTCGTTGAAGCACACCAGCACATCGATATCATCGCCCGAACTCAGTACGGGCGTTGTTGAGATGCGCGCCTGCGACATCACAGGACCGCCCATAATTTGCGACGGGAATGTGACGAATGTCTGCACATGGTAGCCCACATTGCTTGCAGCCTCTGCAAGCCCTTCGGAAGAGGTAACCATGCCCTGTCCGCCCTCACCCCCAAATCGAACTATAAAGTCAGTTTTCTGCAAGTCTAGCCTCCTGGGTCTCGCCTTTTATGAGGCGTGCGCAGTTCATCGCCATAATACTTGAAAATAGAGAAAATGCCCCAAATCCTTCAGCCTTCGGCTCGCATGATTTGGGGGCGGTGACGAATGGGAAGCTTGCGCCGCCTGATGTAGCTGTTCTGCTCGCATTATTGGCTCATGTGAGCATTGGGAAACGCTGAACAAGTTTAAGGTCAAACTTGCTCTATATTTCACACGGTAGATAACAAATATATCAGGTTTTTCAATTTAGTGTCAATGTTGTGATGGGCTCACTCACCACCCTCAAGGCAACAGGGAAGGTGTAGCGCCTCCCATGCAACTCTGACCTCAGTTTAGCATTTATCTTAGATTGGCAACAAGGACAGACGCGGCCTTATGCGACGGTTGGATGCGCCATTACTCTTCGACGATGAGGTTGAATGCGAACGGGCACACCACCAGGAACAGCGCATCGAAGGCGATGAGGAACGGCAGCCAGCGGTCGAACGGGCTGCTTCCCTGAATGACGGCTGTCGATGCTTCAACCGCAGCAATAATGGCGGGCACTGCCACCGGGAAGAACAGCAAGGGCAGCATCACCTCACGAGAGCGCGTGTTCACCGCCATTGCCGAAAACAGCGTGCCAACGGTGGCTATGCCGAGGGTCGCGAGCACGGCGATCGGGATTAGCCCGGGCAGCAGTAGCGAGAAGTTGTAGAGAACTGCGAAGACAGGGAAGACGGCGACTTCAACCAGCAGCATAAACAGGGAAGCTGCCAAGCATCTTCCCGAAGAAGATCAGATCGCGGCTGACGGGAGTGAGCATCAGCGCGTGAAGCCCGCCACTCTCATTCTCCAGCGCCATTGAGCGATTTAGGCCCAGCACTCCTCCGAAAGTGAACGCAACCCAGAGGATACCGGGCGCGACGAACGCGACAGTCTGCGGCGTAGGCGTGATGGCGAAGTTGAAGACCACGATGACCAGCAGAGCGAAGACCAACGCTGTGACGACGATGTCCTTCGTTCGCAGCTCCAATACAACGTCTTTCCAGAGAATTGCCAGCACTGCCAGGATTGACGCTCTCATAGAGGCTGCGCCTCCCCATGCGGGTCGGAGGTGTATCGGTGATAGGCGGCTCTGGTGGCATCCGAATCCGGCGCGCCGTCATGCGCGATGCGACCGCGAGACAGGATAGCCACGCGGTCGGCGAGCGCGATGCCGCGCTCAAGATTGTGCGTCGTCATGAGAATGGCGCGTCTGGGGTGGGCGCTGTCGGTGATGAGGGCTTCGAGGAGGCTTAGCGCCTGCTGGTCGAGGCCGCTTTCAGGCTCGTCCATGATGAGCACGCTGGGGGAATGAAGCAGCGCGCGGGCAATACTGAAGCGGCGGCGCATCCCGTGTGAGAGCGTCCCAACCCTGGCATCTAGGCGGTCGGTCACTCCCATCTGTGCCGCCACGCTGCCGATACGCTCTCCGATGCGGTCTAGGGCAAACATCCTGGCGAAGAAGCGCAGGTTCTCGGCGCCGGTGAGGCCGTCGTAGAGCAGCGGCTCGTGGGTGACGACGCCAATGGCGCGGCGGATCCTCACACCGCTGCGACGTGTGGATAGCCCGGCTATGCGGACATCGCCTGCATCAGGCTTGGCGAGGGTGGCAAGGGTCTTGATGAGGGTCGTCTTGCCGGAGCCATTAGGTCCCAGCACCGTCAGGGTCTGTCCCCAAGGGACCTGCAAGTCCAGATTGTGAAGAACCTGAGTGCGCCCGTAGGACTTGCTCAGGCCGCGCACGTCGATTGCAAGGTCTGTTCCGTCTGAAGCCAATGCTTACCCGCTATTCGGAGTGGGTTACGGTCATGGCAGTGGGCAGCGAGGCGTAGCAACCTAGCAAGTCTTGTATGTCTGCCATGCTTTATCTCCCACGCGCCAGTCTCATGCCTTGGGTGTCCCACGCTTTTGTAATGATGCGAGCGAGGACGCTCATGCAATTACCATGTTACATCCATAGCAGTAACGGGTGCTAGTCCGATGCGAGTCGGCGGACAGCGTCTTCGTCGATCTCGACGCCGAGGCCGGGCGCGGTTGGAACGGTGATGAAGCCGTCCTGCTGATCGAACGGTTCAGCGGTGATGCCCTCGCGGATACCGCTTGGCGTGCGGTCGAACTCCATCACCGGCTCCTGCTCGTAGGGGCGCGGTTCGTATGCAGGCGGGCATGGCGGTATCGTAGATGCGAGGTGAAGGCTGGCGGCAATCATCACGGGGGAACCCCATACATGTGGGTTGACGAGGATGCCATAAGAATTCGCTGTCATTGCGATGTTGCGCATCTCCGTTATGCCTCCTGCGTTCACAACATCAGGCTGGGCGATGTCGTAGGCGCGACGGGCAAAAAAATCCTTGAACTCGTAGCGGGTGCGGAGGTTCTCGCCGCCCGCGACAGGCATGGGAACGGCTGCCTGTACTTGCAGATAGGCGTCCACGTCCTTGGCGTTCACAGGCTCCTCGAACCAGGTGATGTCATAAGCGGCGAGTTCGTTGCCGATCCGGATAGCTGTGGATGCGGGGTATGCCTGATTGGCGTCCACCATGAGTCGGATATCGTCGCCGATGGCGCGGCGAATGGCAGCGACACGGCGAACGTCCTCGGCTATGGGTGAGCCGCACCGATCTTAGTCTTCATGCCCTTAAAACCGAGTTCGACGTACATCGTTGCTTCGTCCAGAAGGCGGGTGGGAAACTCGCCCTCAGTGTAGTAGAGGCCTGTGGCATACACGGCGACCTTGTCTCGGATGCGGCCACCTAGCAAGTCTGAGACGGACTGGCCGGCTGCCTTGCCCGCGATGTCCCAAAGGGCGATATCAACTGCGCTGATGGCGCTGCCACCGAAGCCACCTGCGTTGTTGCCGTTATAGACGCGGTCGAACATGCCCTGCCAGAGTGCGTTGCGGTTGAGGGGATCGGCGCCTATGAGGAGGTCGCCAAAGAGTTGCTTGACGAAGTCGCCTCGCGCGCCGACATAGCCCTCGCCCCAGCCTGTGATACCCTCATCGGTCTCGATCTTCAGCAGGCCAACGACACGAGCGGATATCCATCCATTGGACCAGCCGAATGGCCGCTCCAGAGGCGATGACAAATTGAAGCCTTCGATGTTGGTGATGAGCATGCGGAACTCCTGGAAGGTTTGGCTGCGGGAAGTCTAGCGATGGGCGATGGAACTTGTCAATTAGCAGGCTGGCTGTCGGCCGTTGGCCGCCAACCGTAAGGCGCCGGCATATCGGTCTATCGTCTCTGCGGCTTGAAATATCCGCCATAGATACATACCACAGCGAATTGAAAAGCTCGCTACGAGCGGGAAGAGGTGATGTGCTACACTGGGCGCAGAATGACGGACGGATGACAAAACATGCATTCGGAGGGCAATATGCTGAGCAGTAACGGAGCAACTATACCGCAAGAGAGTCGGGCATACGGGCCTCTGGCGGGGGTGAAGGTGCTGGACTGGACGATGTGGCAGTTCGGGCCTGTGGCGGCGTCGATGCTGGGGGATATGGGAGCGGATGTCATCAAGCTGGAGGCGCTGGACGGCGATGTGGGGCGCGCGGTGTCTTCGCTTGAGTCGGCGAATGCGGGGATGCCGAACGGTCGCAACGCTTACTTCGAGACTTGCAACCGCAACAAGCGCGGCATTGCGGTCAATCTGAAGACCGAGGAGGGGCGGGAGATAGTGCATAAGCTGGTGGCGGAGGCGGATGTTGTCATCGAAAACTTCCGCAACGGCGTGGCGGAGCGACTGAGCATGGGCTACGATACGTTGAAGAAAATCAACCCGAGGCTGGTGTACGCGTCCGCGTCCGGTTTCGGAACCAAGGGTCCCGACGCGCTGATGCCGTCGCTGGATGCATGCGGGCAGGCTCGCGCAGGTCTGATGATGTCGGCGACCCCGCCATGGGCGAAGCATCCCATATCGGTGAGGGGCGCGCCCTCGGACCAGATTGGAGGCATAATCCTGTGCCTAGGGATACTTTCGGCCCTGTGGGCGCGGGAGAGCCAGGGCGTCGGGCAAAAAGTAGAAGTGTCGCACATGAGCAGCACGATGTGGCTTCAGGGGCTTGCGGTCGGAATGGATCTGCTCATCGGTAGCCACATGCCCACCCTGAACCGCGAGGACGTGCGCAACTACATGTACAACATCTACAAGTGCAAGGACGGGAGCTGGCTGCGAATATCCAATCCACAGCCGAAGCGGTACTGGCGTCCGTTCGTGGAGGCGCTGGGCCTTTCGCATATTCTGGACGAGCCGAAGTTCCAAGGCGTCGAGGACGGGGCGGAGGTCGTGCCAGAGCTGCTGACGCTTCTCGAGGATACATTCGCCGAGAAGACTTATGCGGAGTGGGACGCGATATTCCGGCAGTACGGGTTCATCTACGCAAAGGTGCAGAGCGTTCAGGAGCTGAAGGACGATCCGCAGGTGATTGCGAACCAATTCATCAGGGACTTCGACCATCCGGACATGGGACCGATTCGCGTCTGCAACTTCCCGGTATCTTACAGCGAGACGCCCGCGGATATCGTGCGGGGCGCGCCGGAACTTGGGCAGGACACGGAAGCGGTGCTTATCGAGCAGCTTGGGTATGACTGGGATGATATAGCGAAGTTCCAGGAGGCTGGGGCGATACTTTAGTATTTCTCGGTCAGTCAGTGTGTCAGTCTATCGGTTTTTTGGTGAGTATGCAGGATGGGGCATGAAACTGAACATCTACTATGACGCAGAAACGGACACGCTATCCCTTTGGAACGGAGTTCCTGCGAGTGAGGGTGAAGATGTAGCTGAGCATCTGGTTGCCGACTTCGATAACGATGGAAATGTTGTCGGATTTACACTTGAGCACGCAGGCGAAATGTTGAAGGCGGATTTCCTGGAATTGGGAAGGCTGTCGGGTGGTGATGTCGAAGATGTACCAAATACCAATGGAACGACGGCACTTGAAAAAACTGAAGAGCGTTCGCGCCGAGTAATCTCCAAACAAAAAGCAAATACCCTCTTCCAATTTGCGAAAGAGGGTATCTTGAGTTCACTTTGAAGTGATTTTAGTTACGCGGCCACCAGTTGGTGTCGGGAACATCCACGATGCCGGATGGAGTTCGTCGGGGGTGCGGCAGCCTACATAGGCGAGTGCGCGGTCGAACTCAACTTGCAGGATTTTAGAGCATGTGCTCGACACCGTCTGCGCCGCCATAAGCCAAGCCCCAGTAGAGGGGGCGTCCTACCAGGACTGCGCGCGCGCCGAGGCAGAGCGCCTTGAGAACGTCTAGCCCGCGGCGTACTCCTGAGTCCAGATATATCTCAAGCCGATCACCGACCGCTTCGGCAATGGGCGCGAGTGTCTCGATGCTGGAGGGTGTGCCGTCGAGCTGCCTACCGCCGTGGTTCGAGACGACGATGCCGTCAACTCCGTACTCGGCGCACTGGATGGCGTCCTCGACTGTGCGTGATGCCCTTCACGATGAGGGGCAAGCCCGTGAGGTCGCGCAGCCAGTCGAGCCTGTCCCAGGTGAGGCCAACGTAGTCGGGCGGCGCCCAGTCCGCGAGGTCGGGAACGCCTACATTTCTGCGGTTGATGAGGTCAGGCCTGCCGCGGAGGCTGCCCCAGTGCAGGCCGGGCTGCGCCATATAGAGGTTGCGCACATCGCGCTCCTTTGGGCTGCCGACCGGGGTGTCAACAGTGAGGCAGATTGCCTTGTAGCCTGCCTCCTTGGCGCGCTTGACGAGAATCTCGGTTACCTCGTCGTCCTGGTGGTAGAGCTGGAACCAGAGAGGGCCTGTTGCGACCTCAGCGACCTCTTCGATACTGTAGCCTGAGCTAGTGGGCAGCGTGTATAGGGTGCCTACACGACCCGCGCCGGTGGCGGTGGCTCGCTCTCCTTCGGGATGCGCCTGCCGCTGTCCGCCTGTCGGTGCGACCATGACTGGGAAGGAGATCTTCTCGCCGAGCACGGTGGTGGTGAGATCGCGGTCAGAGACATCCGCGAGAAATCTCGCGTTTACGAGTATGCGCTCGAAGGAGTCCCTATTTCTACGCTTGGTTATCTCGTCGTTAGAGGCGGCGTCCACGAATGTCCACATGTTGTGGGGCATCGTCTGCTTGGCTAGGGCTTCCATGTCGAATAGGTTAATGGGGTCCATCGGTGTTTCCCTCCATAGTAGTTCCGCAAGATTGTTAAGGTTTCTTTAACACCGATGCGAATTATACTCTTGCAGGGGGCAATGTCAAAGGTTTTGGATGTTGTTTCACGGGAGTTTACAGGGATGGAAGGGGATGGGGGACTTACCTGAATCGGATTGATTGGAAGTTGGCATCGCTGTATTCTAATGCCGGATAATTTAGAGAGTGGAAATTGGCAGAAATGCACGAGAACAGAGACGAAGTTCACGCTGAAAATTGGTTGGGGTTGGGGCTGGGGAATGCAGGACAAATTTAAAGAAAGATTGCTATGTTGCATTCAAGACAAATCGAACAAAATAAGAAAGAATCGTGTAATCGAGGAATACTCGCAATGGTGGCTGCTCGTGGATTATGTGGAGTACGGAATAAGCGATATCGATTGTGATGAACTGAAAAGATGGTTGATTGACAAGAAGGACTTTTGGGCAAAAGTTGTTATCCTACATCCTGAACATGTTAAGTATTTTTGCGTTCTGTGAACGCCTTATTCCAGTGTTGGAAGAATGCTTAAGCATTTATTGGGCAAACCGACTTCAGTTAGTTGAGGAAGAGAACTAATGAAAACTAGCATCACAGAAATCGCCCCCGGCGTGCATCAGATGGTGGTGGGCGAGGGTGCGCACGAAGGCGTGTATGCGCCGAATGTGTATCTGGTGGTAGGGAGCGAGCGGGCGGCTATAATCGATACGGCTTATGGCGAGGATGCTGAGGTGGAGGCGTATCTGGAGCACTGGCGGTCTGTTGGGGCGCCGGATGTGCGCGGCGATTGTGCTGACCCACAGGCACGGCGACCATATCGGGGGCGCGGTGCGGCTGAGGGACGCCACGAGCGGCGCGGTTACCTGCAACACAGATGAACGCGAGGCTATCGAGTCTGACCTTGCTTCTTCTCGTATGGAGGATGTGCCCTTTCAGCAGGTTAGCCATACTACTATTGAACCTGGCGACGTTGAAGGTTTCAGCGTGGATGCGACGGTGGGCGACGGAGATACGCTGGAGCTTGGGGGCGCGACGCTGGAGTTCATACATGCGCCGGGGCATACTATGGGAGCCTGTGCATTTTGCATCGGCAGACAGGAGTGCTGTTCAGCGGTGATATGATTCTAGGGACTGGCACGACGGTCATCAGCCCTGAGCACGGAGACATGTCGGCCTACATAGAGTCGATGCGTAAGCTGCTTGGGTATGACGCGCGCCTGATTGCGCCTGGGCATGGGCCTGTTATCGACACACCGCAAGACAAGCTGAATGAGCTGATTACTCATCGGCTTGCGCGCGAGGAGCAGATTGTGGGACTGGTGGAGGCTGGGAATCGGAGTGTGGACGCGCTGCTGGAAGCCATCTATGCAGGGGAACATACATCCGCAGCTAATGGAGACGGCGCGCAGCCAGATTCGGGCGCACCTTATTAAGTTGGAGGCCGAAGGGCGGGTGTTCGGGGTGGCAGGAACTACATGAATGACAGGATGAACAGGATGGAAATGGGAATGCTTGATTTTAGGAAGTATAGGGCGCTGACTTTTGACTGCTATGGGACACTGATTGACTGGGAATCGGGCATTGCGAGTGCGCTGAGGCCGGTTGTCAAGGGTGCATGGGGTGGATGTGAGCGATGCGGAGCTGATGGAGCTGTATGCAGAGATCGAGGGGGCAGGTAAATCTGGAGAGTACAGGCGATACCGCGAGGTGCTGCGCTCTACCGTGAGGGGCATCTGCGTGAGGCTGGGATTTGTGCCGTCCCGGTCGGAGGTGGAGTGTCTTGCCGAATCACTGGGCAGTTGGCAGCCTTTCGAGGATACGGTGGATGCACTGGAACGCTTCAAGAACAGGTACAGGCTATGCATAGTCTCGAATGTGGATGACGACCTGTTCGCGGGGACGGCGCGGACGCTGGGAGTGGACTTCGACTATATCGTAACGGCGGAGCAGGCGGGATCGTACAAGCCTTCGCACAACAATTTCAAGATGGCGATTGAGCGCATGGGATTCCCTAAAGAGCGCGTGCTGCATGTAGCCGAGAGCGTCAAGCTCGACATCGTTGCGGCGAAGTCCTTCGGAATGGATGCTGTGTGGGTGAACAGGCACGCCAACTCGGAGGGCGAGGGCAGCGCGTCTGGCAATCCCTCAGACGGCGCTTCCGGGGCCGACCTTGAAGTGCCCGACCTGAAGACGCTTGCCGATATGATGGGCCTGTGATCTAGGCTCTGTTGACATTTGATACGCAAAGCATTTTAGACTTGATAAGTATGTCTATGCTGTCATTCTGAACACAGCGCATGTTTATTCTGTCATCTGAACGCAGCGTCAGTCGCTAGCAGTGAAGAATCTGAAATCATTGCGAATAGACCATTCACAGACTTCAGATTCCTCGCTGCACTCGGCATGACAGGAAATGCCCACACAACCAAGTGCTGACAAGATGGGTATGACGCAGATTGGATAGCGTCTCTCTGGATGGCGTAATTTGGACAGCATAATCTGGATGGCATAGTCCCCTCCCCCATCAACAGGGCAAGGTCAGAGCCTGACCTGAGCTTGCCGAAGGGATAGAGGCCGAAATAGCGATTCCACCCCCTGAATTTAACCGCAATTTGTTAGAACACTTGTCTTGACAATGCGCGAACTCTCTGTTATGTTTCAGGCACAGGACGCAGAAGAACTCAACCCTGCATATTGCGACCACATAATGACCTATGGAGGCAGACATGCCAAGACGAAACGGGGCAACTAAGACCAAAGGAGTCAGCACAGAGAGCGACAAGGCTAAGGCGCTCGAACTGGCACTCGGACAGATTGACCGGCACTTCGGGCATGGCGCGGTCATGCGCCTCGGAGACGCAATTCAGGACAATCTTTCAGGCGCAATCTCCACTGGCTCCATATCCCTCGATGTTGCATTAGGCATCGGCGGAGTGCCGCGCGGTCGCGTGGTTGAGGTGTTCGGCGCGGAATCATCGGGAAAGACAACGCTGGCATACCATGTTATGGCGAACGCGCAGGTAGAGGGCGGCACGGCGGCGTACATAGACGCCGAGCACGCGCTTGACCCCAGTTATGCTGCGAAGTGCGGCGTGGACATCGAGGAACTTCTCGTCTCACAGCCGGACACCGCCGAACAGGGTCTGGAGATATGCGAATACCTCGTCCGTAGCGGCGCAGTTGACATAGTCGTGGTGGACAGCGTTGCTGCGCTGGTGCCGCGCGCCGAGTTGGAAGGCGACATGGGCGACACGCATGTCGGGTTGCAAGCCCGCCTGATGTCGCAGGCGCTGCGCAAGCTCACTTCCGCCATCAGCCGCTCAAACACCTGCGTGATTTTCATCAACCAGCTTCGTGAGAAGATAGGCGTTTTCTTCGGCAACCCGGAAGTTACACCCGGCGGTCGCGCGCTGAAGTTCTATAGCTCCGTACGCATCGACCTCCGTCGGCTGGAATCCCTCAAGCAGGGCACGGATATCTTGGGCAACCGAGTGCGCGCCCGCGTAGTGAAGAACAAGGTCGCGCCGCCCTTCCGCGTCGCGGAGTTCGACATCATGTACAGCGAAGGCATCAGCAAGTACGGCGAACTGATCGACATCGGCTCGGACGAAGAGATCATCCGCAAGAGCGGCGCCTTCTACTCCTTCGGCGAGATAAGGCTTGGGCAGGGACGCGAGAACTCCAAGCAGTTCCTGAGCGAGAACCGGGGCATCGCATCCGAAATCGAAGAACTCGTGCGCAACAAGCTCTCCCCGCAGATCGTCATACCCGACAGCGATGAAATGGATGAAATAGAAGACAATGACGACATCCCCCTAACCGTCATCGGCGACTGATAACTGCCGTCCATAGACAAGACTAAGAGGTAAAGGCGAGCGACGACAACGGACATACAACCGGCGAATACTGCAGCCAAAGTCAGCCGTCTTGTTGGCGCGCATTAACATCTGGCTACAAAGGCGAACGTGGAGCGTGCTTATTCTGTGGCAAGATAACAAAATGAACTCGCAGAGACGAAGCCTGTCACAATGCGATAGACGGCTGATTTGGCGCCCGCAATTATCGGCGCAACCCTAGGTTCTGTTGAAATTTGATACACAAAGCGTTTTAGAATGAACCTTAGGTTTATTCTGTCATTCTTCACTCCGCTGCGCTTCGTTCAGAATCTAAAATCCTTGTACATGCGGCAATCTCCGATTTTAGATTTCTCCCTTCGCTCGAAATGACAGAAATGATGAGAGATAACCTCAAAATGTCAACGCACCCTAGCAATCGAGGTACAGTTTCAGTCCCTACGCAGCTAATTTGCTTGCATGCAACTTATCCCCCTTCCACTAACTCACACGGGTTCTCAAAGTAGAGTTCCCCCTAACACGCTTTACGCATCCGCTTCGGCTTTGGTACACTAGGCAAATCATCTACACTATCACTACCTGCCTTATGCAGCATCCGCAATGGGAGATTGCAAGGTCCGCGTGACCTGAAATGAACGACGAAGACAGCGACAGTGACCAGATAAGGCGCGCAAGCGCCTCAGCCATCCGCCACCTCGCGCGCAGACCCAGGACCGCAGCAGAGGTCATCACTCATTTGCGCCGCAAGTTTTCCCCACGACATCGCAGTGCAGGTCGTCGCAGATCTGCGCGAGCGCTCCCTCATCGACGACGCCGCATTCGCACGCCTATGGGCGGAAAGCCGCCTGCGCACAAAGCCCCGCAGCGCCTGGCTGATTAAGCGCGAGCTGATGAACAAGGGCGTCCGGAGCGACCTCGCAGAGGACGCCGTCAGCGACTGCGACGACACCGAAAGCGCGCATCGCGTCGCCTCTGCATACTCTCGCCGCTTGGACGGCGCGGACTACGAAACTTTCCATCGCAGGCTATACGGCTACATGGGCAGGCGCGGCTTCAGCGCATCTATCAGTCGCAGCGTCATTTCTAGCCTTTGGCGCGCCCGCGAACAGGGCGCCTAACGGAGGTAATTTTCTATGGCGGACGCTCATTTATCGAGCCTGATTCTCATCGGACTTTGCATCATACTTTCGGCATTCTTCTCGTCATCCGAGGCGGCGTTTCTCACGCTTGAACGTATCAGGCTCGTGCACCTTCTGAACACGAACAAGCCCGGCGCTCAGCGAGTCGCAGGCCTGCTTGAACGCCCGGAACGCCTGCTTTCCACCATCCTGCTCGGCAACAACCTCGTGAATGTGGCGTTCACCGCGCTGATTACTGTGGTCTCTCTTAATCTGCTTGGCGAGGGCCGCGAGGCGCTCGCGACCATCCTGGCGACTGTGGCGGGTACCGTCCTGCTGCTGATTTTCGGCGAAACGATTCCCAAGACCATCGCAGTGCATCAGGCCGAACGCATTTCTTTCTGGTATGCGCGCCCTTTGAAGATGCTAGAGATGCTCTTCTGGCCCATCATCTTCCTGCTGCAAGGCATGACGAACTGGACGACCAAGCTGCTCGGCGTCAATCCGGAAGCGCGTGACTCCATCACGGAGGGCGAGCTCCTATCCCTCATTGACATCGGCGAGGCGGAGGGCACATTCGAGTCGTCCGAGGCAGAACTGCTGCAGAATGTGTTCCGCTTCGGCGACAGGCAGGTGCGAGAGGTGATGACGCCGCGACCGGAGATGGTGAGCGTACAGCACAGCGCAACGCTCAGCGAGTTCCTCAATGTGTACGGGGCGCATTCGCACACCCGCTTTCCGGTGTACAACGACTCCAGCGAAAATATCATCGGCATCCTATCAGCTAAGGACGTGCTCAGGTCAATGGCGAGTAACGGCGGAATGGAGCTCGACGCCACTGTCACGGATGTAATACGCAGACCGCTGTTCGTGCCTGAGACAAAACGCACCGCCGAGTTGTTCGAGGAGATGCGTAAGGACGGGCACCAGATGGCAATCATCGTGGACGAGTACGGAGGACTGGCGGGGCTGGTTACCCTGAAGCGGCTGTCCGAAGAGGTTGTGGGCGCGCACGGCGAAGAAGGCGAAGCTCCCGAAGATGAGTACGAGAGCCTTGACGACAACACGTTCCAGGTTGAGGCGGCGATGAGCATCGACGAAGCCAACGAAGAGCTGGAGTTGAACTTGCCCGACGGCGACTTCGATACGCTCGCGGGCTTCGTGCTCGACAAGCTTGGCCATATCCCGGACGAGGGCGAGATTCTGGAGTACGAGGACCTGAAGATTGAGGTCATTGAGATGCGCGCCCTCAAGATAGAGATCATCAAAGTAACGCGCGCAAGCACGGTCGAATACGGCTGGCAGGGCTACACGTCAGGCAATGGATTCCGCCAGTAGTGCGGCCATTGACGCGCTCCAACGGCGCGTGGCTTCTGCGCTCGGCAAGCACGAGTTGCGAGGCAAGAGGCTGCTCGTCGCCGTGTCCGGAGGACCTGATTCACTCGCTCTGCTCCACGCGCTATGGCAGTTGCGCGATGAACACGAGCTGAGGCTGTACGGCGCGCACCTGAACCACGGCCTGCGCGGCGCCGAGTCGGACGCGGACGCCGAGTTCACCGCGGACACATTCAGGCGGCTCGACATCCCCTTCACATTAGACAGCGCCGATGTGGCAGCCTATCGCACCCAGCACAAGCTGTCCCTTGAAGACGCCGCTCGGCAGGTGCGCTACGCATTCCTCTCCGTTGCCGCCGCCGAGCACGCCGCCGACGCCATCGCGCTCGGGCATACCGCAGACGACCAGGCGGAAACCGTGCTGATGCACATCATTCGCGGCAGCGGACTCGACGGACTGCGCGGCATGCAGACCCTCGACACGCGCCACATAGCCGACAGACCGGCAACGCTGTTCCGCCCGCTGCTAGGCGCCCGCCGCTCAGAGACGCAGGCGTACTGCCGCGCCTTGGGCATTTCGCCGCGCATCGATGCCTCGAACCAGTCGCCTGAATTCCTGCGCAACCGCATTCGTATGGAGCTTGTGCCGCTGCTGGAACAGACCAATCCGTCCATCCATGCCGCGCTGCTGCGGTTAGCGGCGAACGCCACTCAGGACAGCGACTACATCAGGGCGAAGGCGGACGAAGTCTGGAATCAGGTGGCGCATGTGCATTCCGACGGCGCCGTCAGACTTGACACTCGCGCACTCCGCAATCACCATGCCGCCTTGCAAAGTCATACTCTTCGGCGCGCGATTGAAGTGGCAGGCGGCGAACTGTCGCAGCAGCATGTCTTGGACATTATGGCGCTCATAGGCGGCGCGCCGGGAAAGACGCTGCACCTGTCGAACGGCCTCACATTCGTCACCGGCTACGGCGAGGCGCACATCGGTCGCGCGGCGGCGATTGCTGCCATGCTGTCTCCCCTGCCTGCGCTACGCGGTGAGCATCCGCTTGCCGTACCCGGCGAAACCCAAGTCGGCGGTTGGCAGGTGAATGCGTTGATCGAAACGTACATCAATATGCGAGACAATAAGAGCTTCCCGAAAGCGGGCCACGATGAAAAGTCGATGCGCCAACGCCGGTTCCGCGTAAGTGAGTTATTGGACGCGGACTGCGTAGGCAAAGCCCTGCGACTGCGAGCACGCCTGCCCGGAGACAGGTTTCAGCCGCTGGGTATGGATCAGTCGAAGTCCCTGCGCGAGTTCATGATCGACACGCGCATTCCTCGGCAATGGCGAGATGGGTTGCCCTTGGTAGTTTCGGATCGGGGTATCGTGTGCGTTTCCGGGTGGCGCATCGCGCATTGGGCACGGGTTACGGACACGACGCAGCGCATAATGCGCCTGAGTCTATCTTACGGTGACGAGCAAGACTAGCCGGGCCTACACGGCCCCTACATAATACGGTCGAGGCGTGGGTTGGGCGTCACGCCGGGCATCTTGCCACGACGGGCAACGGGCGCGCCATCAACCTCATGTATCTCCCCGCTGAATCCCAGTGGAGGCGCGCCACCGATTGCCTCATCCACGCTGAAGCCGTTTACGGGCGCACCAGCCGCCAGGAATTCGCGGATGGTTTTACTGTCCACGCCATGCGTGACGAAAATATCTACATGCTGGAAGCCCTGCGCATCCAGTTTTCGCTCGTATCTCCTTCACCAGTCCAGGAGTCACCCCGCCCCGCTCTGCAGGCGTGCTCAGATTGACGCCGCGCAGCCTGTCCCGGAATGCCCGCGCCACATTGATCGCCTCTTCCGCCTCGTCCTTGAGGGTATCAATGATAGCAATCCTCGGAACTTCAAGCGGCAGGTGGCGATCAAATGATTGGAGCGCCCTCACGGTATCCCCAAGTAAAAGAGGGAGTGCATGCTGCATATATCCCGTTGGCGTAACTCCGGCAAGCCGCGACCCAAGCATTGAAGAGACCGCGACGCAGCCGCCGATAACCGCAGCGTAGTCTATAAGTGGGACCACGTTGGGATGCGCGTATGCGGGCACCGTGCATACTACGGGTACGCTGCCCGCCGCATTGACGCACTCGCGCGCGGCGCTTGCCCAGCCGCTTGAGGACGCCAGCATGCCGCAAATGGTCATCTCGTAAAGCCCGATGACGCTGTATGGAGCCTTTATGCGAAGCGCAACTTCTCCCGCCTCCATCTGGCGGCCCTCGTTCAGCACCCAGACCTCTATCCCCGTCTCAGGCAGAACTTTTTCAAGCAGCGCGCGAACCTCCACGATGCCGCATAACACGCCATCGCGCACTGGACTGAACTCTAGGATTACATTGGGACTGACATTCTCACTGCGCAGAATTGTCTGTGTTCGCTGGGACTGCACATCGCTGCGGTCGCCTATCAGCACTGAAGGGGAAACATCGAATTCGGGAGTTGTCATGAGAATGTATAATCACCGTCCGGGATTCAAGATTGCCAAGGTGTTGGCTAATAACAGGTGTTGTCTGATAAGTAGCTAGTCCTGGGTCGCCAGCAGGCGCGCCCCAGAATCCGCTCCATGTGCCGCAATGCGTTCGCATGCGCCTCTGAGTCGAAAGACGCCACGCAGTCCGTAGGAACATCCACAGCGTAATCGCGGTTGCGCGCGTCCGCGACAGTATGCATCACACAGATGTCGGTGCAGACGCCGCACACGATTACTCGCTCAGGCTCAAGCTCTGCCAGCAAGTCCGCGAGGTTGGTCTCGAAGAAAGCGCTGTAACGACGCTTTGGCAGGTGAATCCCCTCGTATTCCCGCAGTTCCGGGATGATCTCAGGTTCTTCCGTGCCCCGAACGCAATGCACCGGGAACATCTCGAACTCCAGGTCGTCCGGATCGTGTGTGTCGCAGATGAAAATGACGCTGCCGCCCGCCGCCTGCTCGGTCTCAATCAACCGCTGCACTTTAGGAATGATTTCACGCGCCTCATCCCCGCAGTACAGGTTGTGCCCGTCCTCCATAAATCCGACTACCATATCCGTTACGAGGACTACATTTGCCATGGAACCGCCCCAAAACGTTAAATTTGCGCCGTGCACATCTTATATGGACACACTGTCTAATCGCAATAGCATCGCTATCGCAGACAGGGTCCTTTCGTTGTCTCCCTAAGTTCATCGAACATCCCCCGCTATTCCTCACTTAGTTCGGAATCTCAAATCCCTGCCTGCTGCCAATGTCTCATCCCCAAAGGGACTTAACCACCTCAGCCATTCACGGGGCCAATCGAGGCCAATCGGGGCTACTTGGGGATGTTCGGGGCCAATCGGGGATTGCCTTGGGACAATTAGGAAATACCATCATGCTGGCCTTCTGAAATTGTGCCGGCAATCAATTTCGTCAACTCTGCAGAGGTAAGAGAGGAATCCAACGAGTTGTATCGACCGCGCCATCCAAGAGGAAACACTTTGAGTCGGCGTCCCTGCAGGGCAATCGCATTTTGATTTTCAGGCTCTTATTCAAGAGCATATTCGTCCTGCAATAGCCTGAAACACACCATAATAAGTACCTATGAGCGATGTTCTTGATGCTTTCTGCTCCAGTAACGCCGGTGATTTTGAGACTTTCGGAGTAGCTTCACCTGTTCCCAAACATGAACCGTCAAAATGCGATTGCCCTGGGCGTCCCTGCCTTTACGCCGCTCCTAAATCTATTGTATTATAAGGATAGTGACAACGTCCCTCAGTGGGCGCATCCATACGGAGGCGCAGGCTACCATCGGCCTGCGCGAAGGTTTTTACGGAGGAGTAATGAGTCCTCGGTTGATGCGGAACAGCTTCATATACCTGCTTATAACGGTAGCTGTGCTCGCCATTTTCTTCACCCTGTTTTCAGACGCGCTCGGCGGATCGAAAGAGATCCCCGTCAGCGAGGTTCTGTCGCGTTCATTGCGCGGCGAGATTGAGCGCATAGAAGTGCGCGGCGACCGCCTCGCCGTCTTCGCACTTCCGGCGAGAGCTACTCCTCCCGCAAGGAAGAGGGCGCGAGCATGCTCGATATGCTGAGCTCGGCAGGCGTCGCTACCGGCGCATCAGGCGTTTTGGTAGATGTGAAGGGCACGGGCGGTCTTGGCAGCCTCTTTAGCATCCTCATTAACTTCCTTCCGCTCATTTTCTTCGGCGCAATCCTGCTGTTCATGATGCGTCAGGCGCAGGGCAACAGCAATCAAACCTTCAGCTTCGGCAAGAGCCGCGCGCGCATGTTCGTGGGCAATGGCCCCGCCGTCAGCTTCGATGATGTTGCAGGCGTGGAAGAAGCGAAGGAAGAGTTGCAGGAGGTCGTGGAGTTCCTCAAGGTCCCGGAACGCTTCGTCAGCCTTGGCGCGAAGATTCCCAAGGGCGTGCTCCTGATTGGTCCTCCGGGCACAGGCAAGACGCTTCTCGCCCGCGCCGTCGCAGGCGAAGCAGGCGTGCCCTTCCTCTCGATAAGCGGCTCAGAGTTCGTAGAAATGTTCGTTGGCGTGGGCGCGAGCCGCGTGCGCGATCTCTTCGAGCAGGCGAAGCGCAACTCTCCCTGCATCGTCTTCGTGGATGAGATAGACGCGGTGGGACGACATCGAGGCGCCGGACTTGGCGGCGGCCACGACGAGCGCGAGCAGACCCTGAATCAGATACTTGTCGAGATGGACGGCTTCGATGTCAACACCAACGTCATCCTCATAGCTGCCACAAACCGTCCCGACATTCTCGACCCCGCCCTGTTGCGTCCCGGTCGCTTCGACCGCCGCGTCGTGCTCGACAACCCCGACGTGCGCGGCAGAGAGCAGATACTGAATGTCCACTCCAAGGGCAAGCCGCTCGCCGAAGACATCGACATGGAGCGCATCGCCAAGCAGACCATGGGCTTCAGTGGTGCGACCTCGCAAACCTCGTCAACGAGTCCGCGATACTAGCGGCGCGGCGCAATAAGGTCACTATCACTCACGATGAGTTCGCCGAGTCCATCGACCGGGTCATCGCGGGTCCCGCCCGCAAAAGCCGCGTGGTGAACGAGCGCGAAAAAGAAATCACGGCATACCACGAGGCAGGGCACGCGCTTGTCGGCTTCATGCTCCCGAAGGCTGACAATCCTTACAAGGTAACTATCGTCGCCAGGGGCATGTCCGGCGGCCACACCAGATACCTCCCCGACGAGGATCGCAATCTCTGGACCAAGGGACAGTTCGAGGACACGATGGCAGCCGCTATGGGTGGGCGCGTCGCCGAAGAACTTATCTTCGAGGATGTCACCACCGGCGCCAGCAACGACCTTGAGCAGGCAACTAACATCGCCCGCACGATGGTCACGCGCTACGGCATGAGCCGCAAGCTCGGCCCCCGCACATTCGGCAAGCGCGAAGAACTCGTCTTCCTCGGCAGGGAAATCTCAGAGCAGCGCAACTACAGCGACAAGATTGCAGAGGACATCGACGGAGAAGTGTACAACTTGGTCGAGGCTGCCTACCAGTCCGCAACCAAAGTCATCACCGACAACAAGGCTAAGCTGTCCCAGCTCGCGCGCCACCTCATCGCACACGAAACGGTAGAAGGCGACGAGTTGAAAGAGATACTCGACACCGACATCGACACCGACGCGGACCCAGCCCCGCCACCCGTCGCCGAAGCCGCCCCCGCATAGCGACTCAGCGATAGTCCGGCTGCAAATCAGCTCCAATAGAAAGAGAAGAGGGCGGTTCAAATTGAACCGCCCTCTTCATTTTTGTCCCAGATAACTGCGCCGATATATCCTACAAACGCGGCAGGTCGGAATTACCCGTTATCGCCTCCCCAGCCCGCAGGCTCGCCTCCTCTATGAACCTCCGAAGCTCAGCAATGCGCTCCTCGCCCACTTCCTCCCCCACATCCCGGCTCGCCCGTAGCAGCGCCAGTTCCTCTTTCGCCTGCGCGATCTTCTCCGTGATATTCAGCGCCACCAGTTCCGCCTCTACCTGCCTCCGTATTTCGCCAAGATGCTTACGCTGGACCTCCACATCATCCAGCCGCTCCTGGATCTCACCCATCACATGCAAGGTCGTCTCAAGCGGGTTCCCACCCTGTATCGCGTAGCGCGGAGCGCGCGACAGCTGCCGTCGGAACTGTCGCGCCAACGACTCCAACTCTTCGTCCTTCGCACGCACAGACGCAAGCAGCAACCGCAAGTTCGAAATCGCCTGTTGCATCTGCGGCATCGTCATTTCTCATCCTCACTGGGCAAGTGTTTCCACCGGCCACGCTCACTTCTCAGAATAACCCGAGCCTGATTGTCCCTTCCATCCTGAACATCCGCGTCAGTTCAGCGTCACCTTGATAGCGTCCAGAACTTCGTGGATCTCCCGCTCGGTCGTATAGCCCAGGTGCCCGATACGGAATATCTTCCCCGCCAGCGAACCTTGACCGCCCGTGAGTATAACACCGTGCTCATCGCGCAGCGTCCCCACCAGCTTCCCCCCATCCACGCCCTGCGGTATATTCACCGCCGTAACCGTGTCCGATGCCACGCTCTCCTCAGGGAACAGCGTCAGACCTAGCTTCTTCACTCCGTCGCGCGTCATCTGCGCAATCGTCGCATGCCGCTCGTAAATGTTGCCCATTCCTTCGTCGAGGATGCGCTTCAGCGCCACATCCAGCGCGAACATCACCGATATCGCAGGCGTATATGGCGGCTGCCCTATCTCGTAGTAGCGCTTGTACATCGCCATATCGAAGTAGTATCGGGGCATCTTAGCCTCAGAATGCGCCTCCCAAGCCCGCTCGCTGAAACTGAGGAACGCCAGGCCCGGCGGCAGCATCCACCCCTTCTGCGACGCCGTAGCAACCACATCGCAGCCCCACGCATCCGTGCTGATCGGTATCGAGCACACGCTGCTGATCCCGTCAACCAACAGCAGCTTGTCGAACTCCCCCTTCACCACCGCGGCAATCGCCTGAAGGTCGTTCGCGACCCCCGTCGAGTCTCGTTATGCGTAACCAGCACAGCCTTCACATCCGGGTTCTCGTTCAGCGTCTCCCTGATCTTGTCCGGGTCTGCCGCGCTGCCGTACGGAAAGTCCAGGCTGATGACCTCCGCCCCGAACACCTCCGCAATATCTCCGAACCGCTCGCCGAACACGCCCACGCACACATTCACAACCTTGTCCCCAGGAGACAGCGTATTCACTATCGCCGCCTCCATCGCGCCCGTTCCCGATGAGGTCAGGATGTACAGGTCGTTCTTAGTCTCGAATACCTGCTTCACGCCCTCGGTAGTTCGATACAGCAGGTCCTTGTACTCGGGACCTCGGTGGTTGATCATCTGCCACGACATTGATTCAAGGATGTCGTCCGGCACAGGTATGGGCCCAGGGGTTCGCAGGTTCACTTCTCAGTATCCTCCAATTTCTATATTATTTTCTATTCTATTTATTCTCGGAGCTATCTCCGATTTCATTGGCAATTCAGGCGTCCGTGCCCACATTCCCTTGCCCGCGCATCGGCGCTTACGGACAGAAAATGCGCGACCGCACATCAGACAATTTTAACACATCGGCATTACTTTACGCTAAAATACAATCTGTACTTTTGTTGTTTAGAAAACTATTTCTCGGCACACTCCATTGCTGATAGTCCCCATGGTCCGCCAATACTCATCACCCCTTGCCACTCTTAGGAAATATCACATGCTTACTGCCATGACCGTAGCTCTTCGCAAATGCCTTGGACGCCTGTCCGCTCTGCTCTCAAGCTGCTTGCAGCCGCAGGACTGATGGCAGCAATTTTCGCGGGCATCCAAACGGCGACCACCACTCATGCAGCTCCGCAGGCGCAGTCAGGTTCGCTTGAAGTACGCATACAACGCATTACGCTGATAAGCGACTTTGAAGACACGATCAGAAGCACCTTCGACCGCGGCGCGCGCATTAACGCCGAACTCGAACTGAAAGACCTCAGAGACCCTGACAAGATAGATATCGACGATCCCGAATATGATGCCGAATACACGTTGTCGTTCTCTGTCAACAGCCTGAGAGCAGGGACTGTCCTTCAGGGTCGCGACGACCCTTCTAACTTGACCACCATTACGTTGGAAGCCGGTGAGGAAGGCACAGCCACCATCACCTGGAATGTACCCTACGGCTTCCCCGCCGGCGAATACAATTTCCGCGCCGAAATCAGCACAGCAGACAGTCCTGATCAGATCGAGCACTACTTGCAGCGCGAATTCAGGATAAGCGCCGGTTCCGATTATGTCCTGATTTCCAATAAGCGGATTGACTTCGGCAACATCAAGGACGAGGAGACACCCCGCAGCGATCCCATACTCATAGCCCCCATAAATGGAAGGGCGGGCGACCTGACCTGGCGAATTACCGATTGGCCCAGTGAATGGCTTAATCTCATAGAGCCACCGCCTGACCCCGAAGATCCGACGCGCTCTGTCGAGGTCATCAACAATGACTACACAATAATTCTGCAAGTCAGCGACACGGCACTCTTCGGCAACTTCGCCAACGAAGACGTGGTCATCAGCGCTAATGCTGGTGAGTATATCGTTAAAGTGAGCGCCAAGATTAACAGGCACGCCAGCGGTGAAATAGACAGCTTCAGTGTCATGCCGCCCAGGCGCGTCGATGCCGGTGAAACTATAAACATCCGATATCGCATCGACAACAACGGTCGAACCGACGTCCAATACCGCGTAACCTTCTTCATAGTCAGCCCGTCCAATGCCGTCATTTACGACAGCAGTACCACTGGGGAAGACCAAATCATCGAAGTCCCAGACGGCGACACATCGGGGAATCTGGAATACGCATGGCAAGTACCATTTGGCGCGCTCGATGGCCGCTACAAAATCGGCATCGAGCTTCGCAATGCGCACGATTTCTCATCCTCTCCTTTCGATTCCATCGACGCCACACACTCCGATGCGGCGACATTCGACGTACTGGAAGGCGCCAAAATCAGGGTGGCTCCGGCTGACTGGCAGTTCGGCTCAGTCCTCGAACAGTCCTCGCAGCGGCAGGAAGCGACTTTCAGCGTAACAAACATCGGCAGACCTCCATTCGAATGGGAAGTCAAGGCTATCCCCGCATGGACCGAACTTGTAAGACCACTAGGCAAGGAGACCGCAGACGGCGCTGTCATCCTGCGTCTCAAGGACAACATCGTGCCGGGCAGCCACACAGCCGTCCTTATAATCAGCTCCAATGGCGGCGAGGCAACCGTAAACTTGGGCGTCAACATTCGCTCCGGCCCAATACGTACCTCCACCCCGACTTCCACACCCGAACCAACTGCGGAACCGACAGCTACCCACACGCCCTTGCCTACTGATACGCCCGTGCCGACGCACACGCCCGTGCCTGCTGATACGCCCGAACCCACAGCTACGCCTCAGCCCGAACCAACTCCTGTCCCAACGGAAACTCCGGCACCGGAACCAACCGCCACGCCCGAGCCCACGGCAACGCACACGCCTTCGCCTGTGCCGCCAACTGCTACGCCCGAACCTACTCACACACCGACCGCAGAGCCGACCGCAACGCCTGAACCCACCGCTACCCATTCGCCTACGCCTGTGCCGCCTACCGCCACATCCACACCGGAGCCGGCGCCCACAGACACACCGGTTGCGGAAGCCGCTCAAAGCGACACGCCTGCGCCACCTCCGACCGCAGTTCAGCCCGGCGCTAGCGACACGCCTCCCGGTGGGGCGTGCAGCGGATCCCCACAACCCGTCTCCCCAATGACGGGACTGGCCAACCTCGCGTTGCTCCTGTCGCCATCGCGCTCGCCGGAGGCGCCCGTTGGCGCAAACGCCGCAGCCAAAACAGAAACTGACACCGCGTATTGCACATAAACTTCGCCCCACTCAGACTCACTTGCCTGAGTGGGGCGTTGCATTGACAGCGAAACCTCTCTACACACGCTCACCCTGAAACCACACATTCATCCAAGCCCCTAATACCCTCAGCCCTGCCTCTTGACAACTCAAACTACGTGCGTATGATAGAAGCCATGAGAAGAACATCTATCGAAAAGTCTGTCGGATCACATTTCTGACAACTGATAGCTGACAACAATGTGCAATCTGAACGCCCTACAACAAAACATCTTCGACCGCACCAAAGAAGGCGACACGATCGCCAAGTTCCTCGTGGACACCATGCAGGGCGAAACACCCGGCGTCAAAGTCAACCACCGCCTCGAAGCCGCAAAACACCTAATCAAGTACGGCTTCACCGACACCCAGACCGACACTTCAATTCGTCATTCCCGCGCAGGCGGGAACCCAGAGGGGCAGGGCGGCGACGAAACCTCCGTCCAAAGTCCCCTCTCCCTTGGAGAGAGGGCTAGGGTGAGGGGAGAAGAGATTACAAAGCCAATCTCCCACCTCGACATCATCAACTACGAAATAGCACACCTCATACGCCACGAGACCGCCGAGGTCACACCATCGTCAACTTCCTCGTGGACATCATGACCGGCAGGGACAGGCCCTTCACTCCCAAGAAGTTCTGCATCAAGCCCGCAGACCGCATGGCAGCAGCAAGAGAACTCCTGCGTCGCGGATTCGGAGACCTCGGCTCACGCCGCAGGCAGTCAGACAGCACGACGAAGCAAACGCCTACGACACCCTGCACACAGACCTAGCCAAGAGAATGCGCGAGTACAGCGAACGCGGCACCGACACCGTCCGCTTCCTGCTCGAAGTCATGTCTGACCCCGACCCTGACCTAGAATTCACCATCCATCACCGCATGTCAGCGGCACAGGAACTCCTGCGCCGTGGCTGGGACACCAACTACGACAACATCAAGCCTGAGCACCTCCAAGCCTACTGGCACGACAAGGATCACCCGCGCCTCTCCATAGGCCAGAAGAAGACACAGGCCGGCGCTCTCAACCTCCATCGACGACTACGACAACTACGGACGACACGACTACGAAGCCATAGCCAAAGAGATCAGAGAAGAAGAAGACCGAGACGACAACTCAAAGCCGCTTCGTTTCCAAGAGACCGTCCCATCTTCTCGCCATTCCTCCGAAAGCAGGAATCTAGAAGACCGCCAAGCCGCCAGTCCTGCCACAAAGCTCCCTCTCCCTCAGGGAGAGGGCTGGGGTGAGGGCAATGCGGGCAGTAAAAAACCCTTCCCCTCGACGGGGGAAGGCTGGGATGGGGGTGAAGAATCCCACGAATCCCTTACATCCAAGTCAGACAACACCCCGTCCACCACGACCCTGCCGAAGTGCACCCGAGAGTCGTCAGGACGAACCCGCGACCGCAATCAATCATCAAAGAGTTCCGCGAAGCGATGGACAGGGGAGACGAGCGAGCAGCCCTCCGCGCAGAGGCAAAGTACCGCCGCATAGACGTAAAACAGAAAAGAACATCTACGACTACGGCCCCTCCGACCCCGACCCAACCGTGGGACTACTACTTCGAACCCTGAGCCCCGAAGAGCAGGCAAAATTCGACGAAGAAGACAGACGCGAGCACGGCCTGACCGAAGAAGAAATAGTGGACTCTCAAGCATGCCCGCTCCGCAGCGGCATGTCGGACCCGCTAGTGCAGCTCGCCGAAGCCGCTGCCGCCCACAACACCCCATCCTCCCAACACGCTCGCTGGCAGCACAAGAAACCCACCATCCGCAGCCCTAAAGTCCCCTCTCCTCAGTCCTTCCCCTTGACTGGGGAAGGTTAGGAGGGGGTGCATAATCCCTTCCATCCTGCCCATCTGTTAGCCCTCACCCGTTCGCTGACAGTCTATCTAGCACACCCGCTTTCTGCCCGTGCGCCTGCAATAAGGTATCCTTGCTGCTTGACAAGTAAAACCCGAATCAGCGGAGGAATACCCTATGAACACGATGGAAGCCATCGCAAGAATACGAAGGAAGAAGGCGTCGAGTGGATCGCCTGTTTCCCTTCTAATAACCTCATCGAAGAGGTCGCCAAGGTCGGCATACGCACGATAATGTTCCGACAGGAACGCGGCGCGCTCATGGCGGCGGACGGTTACAGCCGCCTGAACGACCGCAAACAGTTCGGCGTCGTAATCACACAGGGCGGCCCCGGCACAGAAAACAGCATGGGCGGCCTCGCGCAGGCATCGCCGACAACATCCCCATTGCTCTGACCTGCCCGGCGGCTCGACCGTCGCACAGATGCAGGTCCGCCCCAACTTCTCGCCCGCGCGCACCTACGAGGCCGTCTCCAAGTACAGCGAGGTCATCCTCCAGCTCGGATATGGTCAGCAGCACAATGCGCGCGCATTCCACCACCTCCGCAACGGTCGTGGCGGCCCCGTCGTAGTCGAGCTTCCCGGCGATGTCGGCACCATGGAAGTCTCCGAGTCCGCTATGAACTACCAGCCCCCCAAGCGCCACCCGCAGCAGCCCTCCGCAGGCGACATCAAGGACGCCGTCAAGGCGTCCTTGCCGCCCGCAAGCCGATGATCTGGTCCGGCATGGGCGTCCTGCTCGGCAACGCCACCGATGAGCTGCGCGAGTTCGCCGAACTCACCGAGATCCGTGTATTGCACCATGCCCGGCAAGTCCGGCTTCAACGAGCGCCACCCGCTCTCGCTCGGCTCCGGCAGCGGCGCGACACCCTGCAGGCGCGCACCTGGCTTAACGAGTCCGACGTCCTCTTTCGCAGTCGGCTCCAGTCTCTCCATCACCGGCTATGGCCAGTCCATCCCGGCGGCAAAATCATGATTCACAACACCGAGAGCATCGAAGACCTCAACAAGGACTTCACGGTGGACAGTCGGCGTCCCCGGCGACGCCAAGCTCACCCTTCAGGCTCTCATCGAAGAGGTCAAGCGCAGCTCGGCGAGAGTGGGCGTCAGGGCAAGACCGGCGTCGCCGCCGAGATTGCATCCGTCGCAAGGCTGGATGGGCAGGCTGGACAGACCTGCTCAACTCCGAAGAGACTCCGATCGCACATACCGCGTCATCGGCGAGCTTGAGCGCGTACTCGACCACGACAACAGCGTCGTAACCCACGACGCAGGTGCGCCGCGCGACTCCATCATGCCCTTTCTATACGGCCACAACGCCGCACAGCTATGTCGGCTGGGGCAAGACACTCCACCGCGGCTACGGCACTTCCCCATGATGATTGCGCGAAGCTACGCCGAGCCCGACAGTTCTGCCTGCAACTACATGAGTGCGACGGCCAGCATTCGCATGTCAGGCTGGACATGAGACTCAGTGCTGAGCGGGCGGCGCCTATCACAACCGTCGTGCTGACAACGGCGCATGGCGTACCTACCCGGCGGCTACCCACCGCCCGCGAGCATTCGTCTGGATTCGGCACCGACGAAATGACCGGTGACTACGCCAAGATAGCCGAGGGCATGGGACGCAGTCGGCATCACCGTGACCGATCCCTGTTGTGTGTCTCAGGTCGCCGAACCGCCATCCGACCAGGCGCAAAACCACACGCCGAAGCGCCGCACCGTCTCCTAGACGTCCACAGCAACATGGAACCCGCAAGTCCGCCCGAGTTAGTTGATGAATCGGGCTGCAGTTACGTCATTCCTACGAAGCAGGAATCCACAGAAAGGACCCGCACCATAGCGGGTCTTTCTACGATCGACTCTTCAGTTCAGCCTGAGACCTTTGTGCTACACTGAGCGAACAGTAATATTCGAGAGCGTATAACGAATGGACTACACCGGCGCCTTTATAGCTGAGGTGGTTAAAGGCATTCGTGGCTGGATGAGAGCGACAAGTCTGACATTGCAATTGGCTATTCGCCGGTCGCAGCATAAGCGGGCACATCTTGACAATCGTGTCGCCCGTCATGCGGAAGACGCAGGGTCGGAGAGGCGACGCATCTTAGGCCGCGGGCAAGTATCAAAGAGGGAAGTCGCGTGCAGTAGCTAACAGGCGACAGAGCTTTATCATTTATGTAGCGATAAGTATTACCTCTGAGACCCCGCGGTCGCCTACAAACCGACCGCGGATCGCAGCTACTACGAATGGGGCAGGTACGATAAACAGGCGGTTGCGACTACGACAGGCCATCAGCAAATCGACCCGCGACGATTGTAGTCGCCTACATCGATCGCGGAAATGCTACACTGCAAATGGACGCAGTAATGATCGCAGGTGTCGTGAGTAAGGAAGTACGACAGGGTATCTAGCCGACTATGACGAAGCTATCAGCTCGCTCTGATGCCGTCGCCTATCTACAACAACCGAGACTCGCCTACAGCAAGACGATTACGACTAGTGCGATCAAAATAGCCGACTACGACAGAGCCATTGAACTCGCCCCCTGACTATACGCCCGCCCATGACAGTCGGAGACGCGCATACGAGCGAATAAGCCAGTATGAGAGTGCGTTGGAGGACTACCACAAGGCTGTCAGTATTCAGCCCGACTCCGCTTACCTCCTTTACGGCAGAGGGTTGGTCTATCTGAAACTTGGCAACGATGAGGAGGCAAGGCGCGACTTCCTGAAAGCACTGGATCTGGGGTTCGATAAAAGCCTGATTGAAAGCGCACTAGTCGGCGAACCCCCATTTGCTAAGCACCAGTCTTATTCTTCAGAAGACCACGAGCAAGTCGTCTTCCACCACGACCGAGGCTACGACCGCCTCAAACAAGGCGACTACGACAATGCCGTCGCCGACATGGATAAGGCGCGCAAGCTCATAGACCCCCAGATCATCCCTTTATACACCAGCACAATGCAAGAGGTCTATTTCCAGAGCGGCATCGCCTACTACGACACCGGCTTGTACGACCAGCGATCATCCTTTTCGACAAAGCGGTAGCCGTCGAACCATCGTCTTCCGATTACCCAGCCACCTACTACCACCGCGGCCTTTCCCACTTCCGCAAAAGTAGCTACCGCAGGGCGATAGCTGACTTCGACATGATTATCCACCTCGAACAGGACTATCCTGATGCCACTCACTACCGCGAACTTGCACACGAAAGGCTGTCGAAGTAGCGACGTTCACATAGATATCGGATATGGTAAAATGCCTTATCCACTCTGCAAGGCCCGATAATATATGTCAGTTGACTACAAGCGAATCATCACAATGGAACCCGGCAAGCGCAGCGGGCAACCCTGCATCCGGGGGATGCGTATCACCGTGTATGATGTACTTGAATACCTCGCCGGAGGCATGTCCGTAGAGGAAGTTCTTCACGATTTCCCTGAGCTTACTCAAGAAGACATCCGCGCCTGCTTCGCCTTCGCTGCAGCTCCCAAGCGAAGGGAAAAGGCATTTCCGACTACATGAGGCTTTTGTTCGACCAGAACTTGTCTCGCCACCTCAAACAGCGCTTGGAAGATTTATACCCTGAATCCCTTCATGTACGAGATCTCGGTCTTGAATCTACTGAAGACAACCTCGGCTGGGAACATGCCAAGTCTGTGCTCTCGTGATTGTTACAAAGGACTCTGACTTGTGCAATTGAGTTCGAGATTGGGACATCCGCCAAAGGTGATTTGGGTTCGTCTCGGCAATGTTCCAACTTCGGATGTGGCTGCGCTGCTCCGAAATCGCCATAACGATGTTCGCGCCTTCTGTCAGGATGAGCGTAACTCTTTGCTCATCTTGCCTGATAGCTCCAAGTTATCATTACAAGCTTGAATCTACCTCAGCGGCTCATATCCCTCGGTTCCCGCCCTGAGTGTCGCCCGTTGGCGCAGCGCCCGCCGCCAGTTCATCGATCCACTCCCGCAACTGGTTCGCGCATCACGCCCCGCCCAGCGCCTGCGCACCACTCCATCCCTGTTGATGAAGAAAGTGACCGGAATACCGATGACGCGTAGTCCACCGATATGCTGCCGTCTCATCTCTTCCGTTGGGATAGGTATGTCATACTCGCGCAGGTACGCCTCCGCATCCGCCTCCGAGTCCTGAATGTTGACCCCGATGAACAACACCCCGCGCTCGCCATACTCCTGCGAAAGCCGCTCGAATATAGGCGCTCCTGACGGCAAGGTCCGCACCACGACGCCCAGAAGTTGACCACCACAGGCTTGCCGGCATAGTCCGCCGCCACAATGCCGTCGCCGCTGTACAGCGGCATATTGATAGGTGGCGCGGGCTTGTCGATACGCGTGACCCCGCTGCGCCCGGTGAACGGTGAACGGTTTGCCAGCCCCAACGCCATCAGTGCAGTGAGGGCAAGCACACCCACGACTACAAGCACGGTTACATATATGCGCAGTGGGCTGGTGCCGCGGTGTGTTTCGGAAGTAGTCTGGGCTGCGTCCGCTGGGTCGGTCGAATGCCCGGTCGCCTCATTGTTCTGCCGCGTGTCCATATCTACTGCGAACGCGATATGCGCTTCAGCGACTGTGCTATCTCTACAATCTGAACGGCGTCAATCCAATCAATCGGCCCTGGCAGCGCCTGTATCGCCATGTCAACATTCCGCCCATTGTCCCTGTGCGGCATGTGAAGAATAACGCCAGGGACTTCTCGTAGTCCCACTCCGCCTTGTCTGGACTGAGCGCAGGACCCGCGATGATACTGGAGTCCGACCAGCCGCCCTTCATCAGGTACACCGTCTGATCACCGATCTTCAGGCTGTTGACGGCATCTTCAGGGCGTTCCCAACCCAGCGGCCCTGATGTGGCATCCGGAGAGAACTCTAACGGGTATGCAATGATTATATTGTTGCTGCGCTCTGGTAAATCTGTCTGATCTCGTTGTTATTAGAAGACACTCGGCGAGATGGAAGCCATCGGGCAGTACGGACGGCTGCAGCGCAAAGCCCAGCTGGTCGATAACCTCGCCAATTTCCTGTGGGATGTCACCAGTGTCCTCGGCAGTCGTGCAGCGTATGTCCGATTGGTCGATTGGAATAGCGGTCACCTCTGGGATTGTAGTTGCAACAGCAGTCGCAGTCGCAACTGTAGCAGGAATGGGCATAGTCGTTGGTGTCGCAGGTGGCGAAGGGGTAGCAATCGGCGGTGCAGTGATTACCGTAGCAGGAATAGCAGTCTGGGTTGCTGCGGGTCCCTGTGGTGTGCATCCGACAAGCAGTGCCGCCACCAGAAACAGTAGCCCCGCCTTATTCATTGCATCCTCATTCCCGTTGGTTTCTGCCTGCATTTCAATTGACCTTCTTTTCAGGTATAAGTATAATCGGTCATTGGACTTTCGTAAATTTGTTTCAAGACCGTTGGCTACATTGATGGGCGGTTTCGCGCAGGTTGCAGGCTGACGGCAGGTTGTTGGAAGCAGCAAGAAATGCCAAAAAGAACATATCAACCCAAGAAACGCCGACGGATGCGAGTGCATGGCTTCCGTTCGCGTATGAGCACCAAGAATGGCCGCAACGTGCTGAAGCGTCGCATGTACAGGGGACGCCATAAACTCACCGTGTAGCGTTGTACCGACTAGAAACCTCCTCATGGTGGAAGATAGTGAGATAGTTGCGCGCGGTGAGCCGTGAGCGGATATGCAGAAGCAACATCGCCTGAGAAAGTCGAAAGATTTCGCGGCGGTGCGCCACGAGGGCAAAAGTTGGGCAGACAGAATGCTAGTGCTTGTTGCGCGACGCACGGATAGCGAGCGCTGTCGTTTCGGCTTCTCGGTGAGCAAAAGAGTGGGCAACGCTGTTGTGCGCAACCGCGTCAAACGCAGGCTGAAGGAAGTTGCCCGCGTCGAACTGCTGCCGCGCATAGAATGTGGCTGGGACTTTGTCGTGATTGCGCGTAAAGACGCCGCCGATGCAACTATCACCACCTAAACCGTTCCCTACTGCGACTATTCCGACGGGGAAAGTTACTGGACGAATCGCCTAATGCCGACGGAAGCAGATCCAGGCGCGAATAAAGTTCACTCATCATCCATCCTGCGCAGAACTGGGACAGAGACTTCATGATTCAAGCCTTTGCTCTGGGAGCTATTCGGTTCTACCAGCATGCATTGTCGCCTTATATCGCTGTGGGACTGTGTCGTCATGAACCCACCTGTTCACGCTACACCTATGAGTCTATCGATAAGTATGGCACTACCAGAGGAGTCTGGCTGGGCATTAAGCGCCTCATTCGCTGCAGGCCGGGCGGGAGCAGCGGCTTTGACCCCGTGCCATAGTATGAGTTCAAGAGAAAACTATATGAGCAAAAAATGGATACTCCTTGTGCTGCCGATATTGCTGGTTGGTATCATCGGCTGCGCCGGGCGGGTTGCAACGCCGGAAGGCTGGTCGGGTGGCGCGGCTGAAGGCGACGTGCTGTACATCGGCACCCGCAAGGGCGATATTCGCGCACTGGACATTCAAAGCGGCGAAGTTCAGAAGAGTTTTAGTTTAGTTTCTACTCAAAAGCAGGCCAGTCTTTTCGGCACAAGAGATGCAGAAGTGGCCAGCAGCGTTTACGGAACACCCCTGCTGCACGACGACACCCTATATTTCGGCACCTATCATGGTGTGCTGTACGCCCTTTCTACGCCGGATTTAGACACAAAATGGGCAGAACCCATAGGCTCGCCTATCGTTGGCGGTCCCACCTTGGCGGGCGATGTCGTGTTGGTGGGCGCGGACAACGGCAAGGTGTACGCGTTTGACCAGGAAGCGGACGAACAGCAACGCTGGACTGCCTCGGAACGGTGGACTTTCCAAACTGGCAACAAGGTCTGGTCTTCGCCAATTGCCGCCGACGGTGTCGTATATGCGACTTCGCTGGATAAGAATCTGTACGCCATCAGCCTCGAGGACGGCAGCAAGCTCTGGCAGTTCGCCACGAACGGCGCTATAGCGTCCTCGCCTGTGTACGATGACGGCACAGTGTACTTCGGCTCTTTCGATAAAGTCTTTTACGCTGTGAATGCCTCCGATGGCACTCTACGGTGGAAATTCGATGGCGCCGACAGTTGGTACTGGGGCACGCCTTTGGTACATGGCAATGATGTGTACGCGCCCTCGCTCGACGGCAAACTCTACGCGTTGGACAAGCGCAACGGAAATCTGCAATGGTCTCTAACGACCGAAGGTCCCATTGTCGGATCTCCGGCCGTTATATTTGATATGATAGCGGTAGGTTCGGACGACGGTAAATTGCACATCGCACGGATTAGCGACGGCAATCCTGTTGACTTCTGCAACATGCGGACCGAAATACGTTCATCACTCGCCGTACAAGATGACACCGTGTTTCTGAGCGCCAAGGATAAGTCCATACGCGCCCTGAGGATAAAGACTAACGGCAACCCCGATGAAGAATGGGTACACCAACCCGACGAAGATGACCCAATAGACAGGGGCCGGATAGAAGACTGCTAACGAAGACTGTCACTAAAACACACGGAAGAGGGGACGTTGATTACCGCGCCCGATAACTAATGCAGATATTTCAGATTCTTATTGACATATGGAACTTAATTATCATCCAGCCGATGATAAACAGTTTGGTGCTTCTGTATAGCATCTTCTTCCTGAACTTCGGTATTGCCATCATTGCCTTCACGCTGATTATACGCGCTATCCTCATACCCTTGACGGTGCGCCAGAGCCGCCAGATGATGAAGATGACATCGCTTCAGCCTCAGCTCAAGGCGTTGCAGGAAAAACACAAGGACGATAGGCAGCAGCTCTCCCGTGCCACTATGGATGTCTATAAGCAGAACGGGAGTCAACCCGATTGGCTGCTTAGGACCACTCTTCATCCAGTTTCCCATCTGGATAGGACTTTTCCAGGCCGTAATTCAGACGCTGCCATCCACTCCTGAGCGTCTTATCGGCCTATCAGGGCACATTTACTCATGGCTGCCCGGCGTAAACGACGTCATACCCATCAACAACTCATTCCTGTGGCTAGACCTGGCGCAGCCGGACTCACTCCCCGTGATGCCCGTCCTCGTTGGCGTATCCATGTTCCTGATGCAGAAAACTACAACCATGCCCTCGGCAGACCCGCGCCAGGCGCAGACCAGCCGTATGATGCTCTGGATGATGCCGATAATGTTCGGCTTCTTCACAACTACCTTCCCAAGCGGGCTGGCGTTGTATTGGGTCGTGTCCAACTTAGTCGGGATGATAATACAGGGGTTCGTAACGGGTTGGAGCCCTCTAATAGATATGCTGAAATTCAAGCGCGAAGAGCCTGCTTCGGCGGTGGCGAGCGCAACTGCGCCCGCCGGCGCAATAGTGACTTCCGAGCTGGAGGAGACGTCGAGCAATGCGGACGATAGAGACAACGGGAAAAACGCCCGAAGAGGCAATAGAAACCGCTCTAGACCAACTAGGCGCAGGTCGCGAAGAGGTATCAATAGACGTCGTTAATCAGGGCAAGGGAGGATTGCTTGGCATCGGCAGCGAGCCGGCCATTGTCCGCGTTACGCTACTCGAATCCGAAGACAAAACTGCGGAAGACAATGAGCCCGATGACGAGGCTCAGCCCGACGCTTTAGCAGAGTTTGCCGCCTTCGCAGACGACCCGGACGACGACATGGAAGACATTGAGGACCACGAAGAAGAAGGGGAGACATCCGAAGTCGTCAGAGTCGGCTACGATGTTCTGAGCACCCTCCTCGGCAAAATGGGTGTTACCGCGGATGTGTATCTCAGGGATCCGTACACCGGAGATGAAGAAGGTCCCGTGTTCGAGGTTGAAGGGGAAGATTCCGGACTCCTGATCGGCACTCGTGGCGAGACTCTTCGCGCCTTGCAGTTCATTGTCAGTCTTCCTCGTGAGCCGCAGAATGGGCGAGCGTACTAACCTGATGGTAGATGTCGAAGGATACCAGCAGAGGCGATACAACTCCGTTGCGAATCTCGCGCGGCGTGTGGCGCAGCGCGTTGCACAGCGTGGAAGGTCAATCCCGCTAGAGCCAATGCCCCCAAATGAACGACGCCAGGTCCACATGGCACTCGCAGACCACTCCGACGTTGTCACCGAGAGCGATGGATATGGAGATAGGCGCAAGGTAGTTATACACCCCAAATAACTCCTCCGGACCCCGCAAGTTCCCGCCGGACTAACGTTTGCCGGTTCGGAGGACTCCGATGCCACCTGCATCATTCAAAATAAGCCGCCTCGTCTGGCTGATTCTGGGCGCGTTGGTTATCGCGCTTCTCCTATATCAGCTCAGGAACGCGCTCCTGCCATTCATAGTGGGCGGCTCCTTGGCATACATCCTCGACCCTGTCATTTCGTGGCTCGAACGGCGTATCCCTTGGATGTCCTCTCGCCCTGAGTTGAAGCGCGTCATCCTGATTCTGCTGATATTTGTCATTGCCGTCTTGGTAGTCATCGCCGCGCTTATCGCCATCATACCGCCCGTGATAGATGAGATCGGGCATTTCATAGAAACCCTTCCGAATCTGATAGAAAGTGCCCGCGTAACCGTTCAGAGCATAGATGCTCAACTCCAGGCCCGACTGCCCGAAGAGATTGTCGTGGTGATACACGACGTCACGCAGGACTTGGGCAAGGCAATAGTGGGCGCTGCCAAAGGCTTCGCGGCACGCACATATGGCGTCATATCAGAGACCATGTCGCTGTTGCTCGGCTTGGCTATGGTGCCGCTGATACTCTTCTACATACTCAAGGACAAGGGGAAAATTATAGAAGGGATGCTGAACACTCTCTCACCGGAGCCGCGCAAGCACACGCGCAACGTACTCAGCGTTCTCAACGGTGTCTTCAGCTCCTACATACGCGGACAGTTGATACTTGGCTTGGTCGTGGGCTTGGTCGTGTTCCTGGGCCTGTGGTTTATGGACGTGCCGTTTGCTCCGGTGCTTGGGCTGGTCGCGGGAATCACCGAACTGGTGCCGGTTATTGGTCCTTGGCTCGGCGCTATACCAGGAATACTGGTCGTACTTGCTACCGCTCCCGAGAAGTTCATCTGGGTAGCGTTGCTCTACCTTGGCGTGCAGTTCCTGGAAAACTCCCTTCTCGTTCCGCGCATCCAGAGCGAATCGCTCAATCTCCACCCCGTATTTGTGTTGGCAGCCCTAATTGTGGGCAGTGAAGTCGCCGGTCTGTGGGGAGTTATACTCGGCCCGCCTCTAGCGGCCGCTGGACGTGGCGTTCTTCTCTATTTCCTGGGGGTATGGAATTCCGATGATGCAACTGAAACCCCTGTGGCAGAGGAGCAAGAGACCTCACAGCATGTCGAGAATCCGCAAGATACTGAACCGGCAACCGACCTTTCGGAAAACTAATACTGTGCCTTATACTCCTATTAGTTTATACTTCATATTGCACTGACATACGCAAGTGTGTAGAATGCTTTTTCGCGTATGCACTGAATTAGCATCTTTTGTTGTTGACAATAATTGCTGAAAGCAAATTAGCAGTTTGATTGGACAATAGGAGGGAAACAGACTTGGCAACTTGGACACCGGATCCGACATTTTACCCATCACCCAAGATGGCCATGGAAGCTCCACAGGAGGAACTTGCGTATGTCGCAATAGTCAGCCCGCCGGGATCGGGCAAACCGGATGCCGTGGGCGTTATGGATGTCTCACCGGATTCTGACACATACGCAGAACTCGTAGGACGGCTAGACTTACCTAACGTGGGTGATGAACTGCATCATTTCGGCTGGAACGCTTGCAGTGCCTCACTCTGCCCGAACATGCCGCATCCGCATGTGGAGCGACGCTACTTGCTCTTCTGCGGGCTGCGCTCCTCGCGTATCTACGTCATCGACACGAAGCCGGATCCTCGCAATCCGACCGTCAAGAGGATAATCGAGGCCGACGAGCTTGCCGAAAAGACGGGCTACAGCCGCCCGCACACGGTGCATTGTGGGCCGGACGCCATATACATTAATGCACTTGGTACGCCGGACGGCGGCGGACCGGGTGGCGTATTCATGCTTGACCATGAGACCTTTGATCCGAAGGGCGCTTGGGAAGCTGATCGCGGTGAGCAGCACCTGTCGTATGACTTCGTCTGGCATCTGCTTCATGACACGATGATCACCAGCGAATGGGGCACGCCGGACATGGTGGAGTCGGGCGTCGTTCCCGAACTGCTGCTTGGTAGGAAATACGGTCACCAGCTCCATGTTTGGGATGTCAATTCGCGCAAGCTGAAGCAGACTATGGACATTGGTGACGACAACCAGATGGTGCTTGAACTGCGCCAGGCGCGCGATCCGCGCAAGACTTACGGCTTTGCGGGTGTGGTTACCAATGTGGAGAACCTTTCCGGTTCCGTATGGCTGTGGTACCAGGACGGTGACGACTGGAAGGCGCAGAAGGTCATCGAGATTCCGGCAGAGCCCGCGGATGCGGAAGACCTGCCGCCACTCCTTCAGGGTTTCGGCGCGGTGCCGCCAGTGGTTACCGACATTAACTTGTCGCTCGATGACAAGTTTCTCTATATATCCTGCTGGGGAACGGGCGAGTTCCGGCAGTACGACGTGTCCGACCCGTTCAACCCGGTGCTCGTTGACACGGTGCAGATCGGCGGTATTATCCGCAAGGCGGCGCATCCCAAGTCTGGCGAACTCAACGGCGGCCCCAGATGGTCGAGGTCAGCCGCGACGGTCAGCGCATATACATCACAAACTCGCTGTATGTCGCATGGGACAACCAGTTCTACCCCGAAGGCGTAAAGGGCTGGGCGATCAAGGTGAACGCATCTCCGGAGGGCGGCATGTCGCTGGATGAAGACTTCTTCATGGACTTCGGCGACGAGCGTGTGCACCAGATAAGACTTCAGGGCGGAGATTCGTCCTCAGATACTTTCTGCTACCCCAATTAGCAGGCAGCGGAAATGCAAAGAGCATTAATGAGCGGGAGTTGTCTTGGGACGACTCCCGCTCTTCTTGAGCCACTAAGCGCCTACTCTCTTTGCCGTTCTCCGGAGGCGTGGACTTGGAACTGAGAGAGTTCGTCCCTTGGCTGGCTCTTGCGGGATTTGGCGCGTATCACGGCATCAACCCGGCAATGGGCTGGCTGTTCGCGGTGGCTCTTGGCTTGCAGGAGCAAAACCGAGCGGCAGTATTTGCAGCATTCATTCCCATAGCGCTGGGCCATACTGCATCGGTGGCAGCCATCGTAGCGATCGTAGTCTTTGCCCGCATCATCGTGCCTCTGGACGCGCTCAAAATAATTGGCGCCGCAGTGGTGATCGGCTTCGGAGTGTTCAAGCTGGCACGCCCGCTCTCGCATCCGCGATGGGTAAGGATGCGTGTGGGCTTCCGCTCCCTTACGGCGTGGTCGTTTCTGATGTCGTCGGCGCACGGCGCAGGGCTGATGCTCGTGCCCATACTCTTCACGCTGCCGCTCATTGGCGTGTCGGCGGACGTGATCGACCTGCGGCAACTGGAGCATACCGAGTACATGAGCTTTGGCGCGCCGCCGAGCATATCTACTCTTGTGTCGCAGATTACGGCGGTTGCGATTCACACGGTGGCGATGTTTTCGGTTATGGCGGTGACGGCGATCGTGGTGTTCGAGAAAGTTGGGCTTGCGATCCTGCGCCGTGCCTGGTTTAACCTCGACAGGCTGTGGGCAATCAGCCTCATCATCTCCGGGTTGGTGACGCTGATACTCTAAGAACAAACTAGCCTATGAGGGCCTTCGTTATGCCTTCGCTCGGCGAGCGGCGCGGAGCCTTGCTCTTTGAAGTTGGACGGCGGTGTTGATGATGGAGAGATGCGAGAACGCCTGTGGGAAGTTGCCCAGCATCTCACCGCTATGCGAGTCTATCTCTTCACTCATGAGGCCGAGGTCGTTGGTATGATCGAGCAGCCGCTCGAAAAGCGCCGTTGCCTCGTCGAGTTCGCCAAGCAAGATTAGGTTATCGCAGAGCCAGAACGAGCAGATGTTGAAGGTGCCCTCATCCCCAGGCAAGCCGTCATCGAAACCACGGTAACGATAAACGAAGCCCTTCTCAGTGGTTAATTCGCGCTGCGTGGCGCGTATCGTAGCCAGCATTCGTGGATCGTCCGCCTTGATGAAACCTATAAGCGGCAGCATCAGATTTGAGGCGTCCAGCAAGTCACTGCCGTAAGCCTGCACGAAGACGCCACGCTCTTCATCAAAGCCATGGGCAAGAATCTGCTCGCGAATCTCCGCGCGGACAGTCTTCCAGTGATCCACATCCCCTTGAAGGCCAAGGGCATTCACCATTTTGATAGCGCGGTCAAGCGCAACCCAACACCACGCCTTGGAGAACACGTTGTGCTGCCGACCTGAGCGCGCCTCCCAGACTCCTTCATCCGGATCGCGCCAGTGGTCTAGCACGAAATTCACGACGTTCCTCAAGTATGACCAGTACTCTTCGTCAATCGGGCCTACGAAGCGTCGATACAAGTGTGCCGAGTCCATTAGTTCGCCATAAGCGTCAAGCTGAAACTGAGAGTATGCGCCGTTACCGATCCGCACTGGAGCAGATTCGCGGTAACCTGAGAGTTCGGGAAGAGTGACTTCGGTGAGGCGCCGCTCGCCGCCCAACCCGTACATTATATTTAGGTCGCGGGGGCGGCCTACGGTTGCCCATTCGATCCAGTTCCGGAATGCCCTCGCTTCCCTTTGATAGCCGAGAATGTGCAGCCCGTAGATGGCGAACGAGGCGTCCCGAATCCATGTGTAGCGGTAGTCCCAGTTGCGCTCGCCACCGATTGACTCTGGCAGAGAAGTGGTCGGCGCGGCGACCATGCCGCCGGAGGGCGCATAGGTGAGTGCCTTAAGCGTCAGGGCGCTCCGCAGCACATATTCCTCGTAGGGGCCGTCGTAGGTGCAGATGTCACTCCAGTTCTGCCAGTACGCCGTCGCCTCGGCGAGACTCCTCTCTATCTCCGCACTGTTGAGGGACTTGGAATCGTAGGAGAAGCGTGACTCGTAGGTCACTATGGCAAACGCCTTTTGTCCTTGCCGCAGCGTGCCTTCGGACCTAAAGCCACCCTCCACCATGCGAAGCGGCACAGAGCAGTATAGAGAGATGGCGCCTGAACCGCCGTGAGCGAACCCGATATTGGGTCTTTCCAAGTGGGCATGGGGAATAATGCCGCCATACTCGAAGCGGGGATGGCACTCCAGATTAAGCGCGATGCTGCCTTCTGTGCATTCGATTATGCGCATAATCTGGTGCGACTCGCCAACTTTGTACGGCTCTATGGGCGCGTCCTCGTCGTGATGCACCGGCATGAAGTCGGTCAGGCGAGCTGAAGCCATTCTCGGTGGTGAATGTGGTCTGGAGCACATTGGTGCCGGGAATATAGCGCCGACTGATTGTGTGGGCATTGCGGGGCGCAATCTTGAAGTAGCCGCCCTTGTGCCAGTCCAGAATCCTGCCGAAGATGGCGTTGCTGTCGAAGCGTGGAAAGCAACACCAATCCACTGAGCCTGCGGAGGACACGAGGGCGCACGAATGCATATCGCCGATAAGACCGTAGTCGGAGATGGCGGGATATTCTGCTGGTGCGACCATAGTCCGCCTACGCTAATTGCTGTTAATACCAGCGAATTATACGCCTGAATTGCGGAATGTCTAGGCGTCTGAAGGTCTATTTCGAGGTCAATTGGGTTTGAAAGAGTTCTCAGTAATTCAGGCGTACTTATCGAAGGTGAACTGTTTCCAGTAGTCGTTCATCACTTCGTCCCAGGACTGTGAGAGCGTGCGCCAGGGGAAGGTGGCTGCCTGCTGCTCCGGGGTGAGATTGCCGAACTCCGGGTCGCGGAGAGCGTCGGTGAGGAATGTGAGCCAGTGTCGGTTGAGAAATGCAGGCATGTGGTGCATCCAGACAGGATCCAGACGATTATGCTGACGGTAGCCTTCGATAAAGGGCGTGAAGAAGTAGTCAAGGAATTCGGTGGCGGTCATCGGCGTTCCCGCGGTCCAGTGGTCGTATTCGCCGCGCCCGTAGTGGTACTGCTGGCAGTTGACTACGTTGACGATGACTGTGGTGAAGTCGGATATGAACCAGTCGTAGTGGGTGTTGTCGAAGTCGAATGGCTGGATGCGGCCTTCGTGGTAGAAGAAGTTCCACTGGTGCAGGTCGGAGTGGATGAGGCCGAAGCATTCGCTGTCGGTGGGCAGAGACATCAGCCAGTCCCGGGTACCGCGCGCCTTCTCGCGGAACGCAGGGCGCCCTCGGTACACCTCGGCATCAGTGTTCCAATCAATATCCTGGTGCCAGAAGCGGCGGCGGATGTCTGCTGTGGACGGCTGATAGTTCTTGGTGAGCGCGTGCATTTTGCCGATGAGCGCGCCCCATTTGCTCGAACATCTGCGGCGTCCAGGTGCGCCAGTCCACTACAGAACCTTCAGCTTTCTCAAACGCTACGACGATGAATTCTCCTTCGTCAGCAGCTACGGATTCGACCAAGTTGCCGGAGAGGGATGGCACGGCGCGGGGAACGGTTACGCCGCCGTCGGCAAGGAAGTTGATGAACTCCAGCTCGCCGAGTATATGGTTGGGCCTGCGGTGGATGGTGTGGGTAATCTTGAGGATGTAGGACTTGCCGTCACGCTTGCAGTCGTACACGTAGCTGTGGCTGGCGTCGGGCAAGATGTCAAGCGAGACAGGGTAAGGCCGAAGCGGCGCATTGCCTCTGTGCGGATGGTGTCAGAGTAGAGGTGCTTGAAGTGCTGCAGCATGACTGCCGAGGTTGCTACTCGCCGGACTTGATGAAGTCGGCGATGCGCTCGCCGATCATGATGGTGGTTACGTTGGTGTTGGCGCGGGGACAGTCGGGCATGACGGAGGCGTCGGCGATGCGGATGCCTTCTACGCCGTGCACGCGGCCGTGCTGGTCAACGACGGCGAGGGGGTCGGAGGCGGGACCCATCTTGCAGGTGCAGGATATGTGGTGCATTGTGGCGACCGTGCGGCGAATCCAGTCGTCGAGGGCGTCGTCGGATGCTAGCTGCTCGGATGTGGGCTCGGCCGGCGAGTCAATAATTTGCGCGAGTTCGGGATGCTCCGTGAGGCGGTGTGCCAACCGCACGCCGTTGCGTAGGCGCTCCCTGTCGAATGGATCGCTGAGGTAGTTGTAGTCGAGCGCGGGCTGGGTGTTGGGGTCGGCGGATACGATACGCAATTCGCCCGCAGAGAAGGCGAGGTAGATGCCGACGGTCATGAGCAGCAGGCGCTCTTCTGAGTTGAAGCGCATGATCTTAATCATGTCGTTGCGGAGGTGTGAGCCTTCGGCGGTGTAGCGAAGGGCGACCTTCTGAGCGCCGACGCCATCGGGTGGGATGGGGAAGTCGGGGTTGCAGCGCCAGCGCACACTGACGGCGGGGTGGTCGCGGAGGTTCTTGCCGACGCCGGGGAGGTTGTGCACGACGGGGATGCCGACGGCTTGCAGCTGCTCAGCGTCGCCGATGCCGGAGAGCATGAGGATGTGTGGCGAGCCGACTGCTCCTGCGCTGAGGACAATCTCGTCGGCCTGGACCTGGAAGCGCTCGCCGCCGCTCTCGACTTCAACGCCTACGGCGCGTTTTTCGCCCAGCCCGTCGCCTGCAAAGAGGATGCGCTGCACGGCGCAGTTGGGTCGGATGGTGAGGTTGAGGCGATGGCGCGTCGGGTTGATGTAGCCGAGCGCGGTGCTCCAGCGGATGCCGTTGGGGGTTGTTGAGGGCGTAGGGGCCGACGCCGGTGGCGTCGGGGTGGTTGTGGTCGGGGTTGGAGGGGAAGCCCGCGTCGAGGCAGGCGTTGTAGAAGGCTATCTGGTCGGTGAGCAGGTCTTCGAGCTTGTGGCGGCGGGCGATGATGGGGCCGTCGCTGCCGTGGAAGTCGTCATGGAAGTCCATGTCGGTTTCGAGCTTGCGGTAGTATGGCAGGACGTCTTCGAAGCGCCATTGGTCGTTGCCCATCGAGACCCAGCGGTCGAAGTCGTCGGGTATGGCGCGGAGGAAGACCTGTCCGTTGATGGCGCTTGTGCCGCCCATGACCTTGCCGCGCGGGACGTCCATGGGCGGGGCGGCGTCGGTCGCCTTGCCGGTGAAGAGCCAGTTGTGGCGGTCTTCGATGTTAAAGAAGTCGGCGCCGGTGCCTAGCCGTCCCTGATGTCGCTGGGCATGAGGTCGAGGTCGGGGTAGTCGCTGCCGGCTTCGAGGAGGAGGACGGAGCGCGCGGGGTCTTCAGAGAGGCGCGCGGCGACGACCGCTCCTGCGGAACCTCCACCGATGACAATTGTGTCGTATCGCATGGGGGGTATATTACCACAGGTGTCAGGCGACGGGCATGCGGGGAGGGGCCTATCAGTTATCAGTGGCTCAGTCTGTCGGACGGACGGGGTCGTGCTGACAAGAATGGCAGGATGGAAGGTACGCCCTCACCCTAGCCCTCTCCCGAGAGGGAGAGGGGACTTTACTCTTGCCCTCACGCCAGCAGTCTCCCTGAGTTAAAGAGGGTTATTGATTAGGGGCTGCGGATGGTGGGGGTTTTGCGCTTGGGGGCGAGCGGGTTGGGGTGGATGGGCGTGTTGTGGATGGCGGCGCTTCGCCGCACGCTGCAATAGCGACCGGCATGCCACGCGGACGCGGGCCATTTATGCTTGAGAAGTCCACTCTAGTTTCTCTTCGTCAGCCGTGCTCGCGTCTGTCTTCTGGAGCGAACATGCTGTGTCTTCGGGGCCGTCTTATTAGCGCGTTTAGAATAGAACGTTACCAGTAGTAGTCCACGGTTGGGTCAGTCGTGGGCCGTAGTCGTAGATGTTCTTTTCTGGTTACGTACGATGCGGCGGATTGTGCTGTGCGGGAGTTGATTTCGATGAAGAGGGGCTTCGTTGTGCCCTACCCCAGCCTCTCCCTCAGGGAGAGGGAGCTTGATGTTGCGGTGCTGCCTGATTCGCTCTGGAGCATTCGTTGGACGCAGGCTCCGTACCCCATCTAGCCTTCCCCGTCGAGGGGGAAGGGGTGAGAGTGCCGCAGTGCATAACGACTGCCGGTCCTGAGGAGGGGCTTTGTGGAAGGACTGGCGGCTTGCGGTCTTCTAGATTCTGCTTTCGGGGAAGGAATGAGAGAAGATGGACGGTCGCTTGGAAACGAAGCGGCTTTGAGTTGTCGTCTCGCTCGTGTGCTTCTCTTATCTCTTTGGCTATAGGCACTCGTAGTCTGTGTCGTCGTAGTTGTCTGTAGTAGTCGATGGATTTGGTTGAGAGGCCGGCTGGGTCTCTTCTGGCCTATGGAGAGACGCGTGCTGGCCTTGTCAGCGCCAGTAGTCCTGAATTGGTGCTTGGGCTCGGACTCGGGTGTCGTAGTTAGTTCGTTGGTTGTCCCAGCTCGGCGACAGAAGTGCCTGAGCCGCGGACATGCGGTTGATGGATGGTGAACTCTAGGTCAGGGTCGGGGTCAGACACTCACTTCGACAGGAATCGGACGGCGTCTGTCGGTGCCGACGTTCGCTGTCTACTCGCGCATTCGCTGGGCGAGATCGGCTCGTGCAGGGTGTCGTAGGCGTTGCTTCGGCGGCGTTGTCTGAGGGCTTGCGCCTTGTGCGATGTCGACGAAGCGGCGACGCAGGAGTTCTCTTGCGCGGCGCATGCGTCTGCGGGCTTGATGCGGAACTTCCTGTGATGAAGGGCCCATGGCCTTGCTGTCATGATGTGCATGAGAAACTCTGCGAACGGCGTTTGTGACCTGGTGCTGTGGCGTGGTATGAGGTGGTGGGCTATTTCGTAGTTGAGGATGTCGAGGGGTACGGGGGCTGCAATATCTTTTCCCCTCACCCTAGCCTCTCCCCAGGGGAGAGGGGAACTTTGAACGGGGGTTTCGTCGCCGCCCTGCCACTCTGGGTTCCGCCTGCCGCGGGCGGAAAGACGCGGTCCAAGGTGGTTTCGCAGTCGGTGTCGGGGAAGCCGTATCTGATTAGGTGCTTGGCTGCTTCCATTCGGTGGCAGACTTTGACGCCTTGGGTTTCGCCGCGCATGGTGTCGGCGAGGAAGGCGGCGATGTGTCGTGCCGTCCTTGGTGATGCTCTGTATGTTGTGTGCAGTTCGGTTTGTTTGCACATATCAGGTTTCGAGTGTTCTCTCTTTGACCGAGTCAGGGTAGATGGATAAGACTCTTTGTTCTGTTATCAATATAATACGCACGGCTGTTTGGGTTGTCAAGGGGGAATCTGGCATCGATGGACAGGATGGATTGGGTGAAGGTAATTGTGGAAGGTCAACTGGTAGTCAACCATGGGATACATTTCTGTATATGTAGTCGGCTTGTAACGGAGTTATGAGCGAGGTTCCTCTTGCCTTGTGGCAGTAGGTCATTTGTGCGATAATATACTGAAATCATCGACAATTCCCACTTGCACACTACCTACACCGGCGTCACAACGTGGGTTCGGATGTATATTGGTAGCCCGGCGGATACAGGAGTGCTGGTAAGGAGATAAGCGTTGGCAGTAAACAGTTTCTTTGAAGAAAGCACACGGGCATCGCTAATTAAGGCAGAAATTGTGCTCAAGTATTTCAGGGCTTGGGCGCGGATAATGATTAGGGGTGTGTTGACAATTGTATTAAACTTAGAGCATGTCAACATCTAAACTAACTCTGGGCCAGTGGTCAAAGATACTCGATTTCCTGAAAGAGGAGACCAACGTCTATGTCAAGTCTGAGCGGGACTGCAAACGATTCATAGAAGGGGTTCTGTGGATGAGCAGGTCAGGCGCTCCGTGGAGGATGCTTCCGGCAGAATACGGCAAGTGGTACAGCGTGTACAGGCGCTTTGCCAGATGGAGCGAGCAGGGTGTTTGGGAGAAGATGCATCTGTACTTCTCCAAAGAGCCGGATATGGAGCATCTGATAATAGACAGCACGACAGTGCGTGCGCATCCCTGTGCTGCGGGTGCCCCGCATAAAAAGGGGGACAGCAGTCGCAGGCTCTGGGAAGAAGCCGAGGCGGCTTCAGCACGAAGGTGCATGTGAGTGTTGACGCTCTGGGCAATCCATTGAGATTCACGCTCACTGAGGGTCAGGCACACGACATCACTCAGGCTGATGAACTGATAGACGGCATTGAGAGCGACTATGTGATAGCGGACCGCGGATATGACTCACAGCGATTGCGTGAGCGCATCGTTGAGATGGGAGCCACGCCTGTGATACCGCCTCGTTCCAACAGGACAGAGCCACTGCAATATGATGAGCATCTGTACGGAGAGCGTCACCTGGTTGAGTGTTACATAAATAAGATGAAGCATTATCGACATATTTTCAGCCGGTTCGACAAGTTAGCGAAGATGTACCTTGCTTTCCTACACTTTGTCGGCACCCTTATCTGGCTGAAATGAAATGTCAACACAACCTAGCAATAAGAAGAAGAGATCAGCAGCGATTTCAGAATTGCCTACTTGGACTATTTGCAGGGCAAGGGATATATGACGATGGCACTGTATCTACGCCTATATTGGTTTTAGAGGAGGCGATCAAGGACCCGGATCTGAGGCAACACCTGTTCATCAGATTCAATGACAAGAACAAGAGATTTGTAGATTCTCTAATACAATCTGTTGAAATTCTCCCAGGCGTGAATTCTCTGAACTGCAAACCACGGATCTCGAATGACGAAGTTGGACAAGAGATGGTGGAAGAGTTGAATTCCATTCATGACGTGCCATCCCTAGTATTCCTTGACCCTTGGGGATATAAGGGACTGTCTATGGCTCTAATCCGTGCTGCGATCAGAAATTGGGGCTGTGACTGCGTTTTCTTCTTTAACTACAACCGAATCAATATGGATTTGGACAATCCCCGAGCTGAAAAGCATGTGGAGGCTTTTTTTGGCAAGAGCCGATTAAATCAACTCCGAAAGCGTGTTATGGGTCTTTCCCCATTGAAGCGGGAAGAAACTATTATGGCTGAACTTCAAGAGGCACTAATACAACTAGGCTCTAACTATGTTCTCTCATACAGGTGTAAGAGTGACCAGTCGTCACGAACGAGCCACTATCTGCTCTTTGTCTGCAAGAATTTCACCGGATACAAGATAATGAAGGACATTATGGCCAAAGCATCGTCTAGCAAGCAGCAAGGTGTGGCGTCTTTTGAAAACGATCCACGGGCAAATCTTCAACAACCTACCCTGTTCCCATTGGAACAACCTTTGGACGAATTGAAGGAGATGCTTTTGGATAACTTTGCCGAACGAATACTAAAGGCCAAGGAAATATTCGAACAGCACAGTGTCAATCGTCCGTACGTACAGGGTAATTACAAACAGGCGCTCATTGAATTAGATGAGGAAGGCAGAATTACTGCTCCAAGACAAAATAGGAATACACTGGGAGATAATGTCCTCGTCACTTTCCCGATGAAGAAACGAGTAATGCATGAGTAATACGTCAAAAATTGAATGGACGCAATCAACTTGGAATCCTGTTACCGGCTGTGACAAAGTATCGACCGGTTGCAAGCGATGTTACGCTGAGCGGCTCGCTAAGCGACTGAAGGCGATGAACAACCCCAGATATACGAAGGGATTCGATGTCACGTTGCACGAGGACCTAGTCAGACTACCTCTCACTTGGAAGAAATCTCGATTGATCTTCGTAAACTCCATGAGTGAACCTCTTCCACCCAGAGGTACCAGCCTCTTTCATCAACAGGACTTTCGACACGATGCACGAGGCAAACTGGCACCAGTTTCAGATTCTGACCAAACGATCCGAGCGATTGCTAGAGCTGTCGTCATCGCTAGACTGGCCACCAAATGTGTGGATGGGTGTGAGTGTCGAGCGTCAAGACTACACATTCAGGATAGACAATCTCCGTAAGACCGGAGCGGCCATCAAGTTTTCTCTCATTGGAGCCTCTGTTAGGGCCTCTAACGGAGCTAAACTTGGATGGAATAGACTGGGCGATTGTGGGTGGAGAATCCGGCCCTGGCGCTCGACCTATGAACGAACAATGGGTATTGGATATCAAAGAGCAATGTCAGTCAGCAGATGTCCCTTTCTTCTTCAAACAATGGGGCGGCACAAATAAGAAGAAGGCTGGTCGCCTACTGCAAGGCCGCACTTGGGATGGTCTGCCCCAGAACCGTCAATTGTAAACGGCCTTTTTCGCGCGGGTGCTGGGTGGAGCCGAAGCGCAATCTTGGCAATTGGTAGGCGGGGTTGGCTCCTCCTTTAGGTTCGCCGTCTTTCCTAGAATGCGGCGTGATTCTGGAAGGAGTGAAGGGCCATGAGCATTGCGGGTGATACGCGACAATGAGATCTGCCGGTCACGACAATAGAATTTGCCGGTTGTAGTAGGGCAATATCATCCACCAGGAGGTGGAATATTGCTCACCGATCGACAGGTAGTATTGATGAGGCAGAAGCTGATGAAAGGCAAGACACAGCAGGCCGCAGCGGCGGCATCGGACATGAGCGAGAGGTCGGTGCGGAACTGGAATAAGGGACCGTTGCCGTCGGAGAAGAAGGACAGGAGAAGGAAGAGTACGAGACCGGACCCGTTCGCCGGCGTGTGGGCGGAGGAAGTAGAGCCTTTGCTCGAGGCGGATGTGGACAGGATACTCGCAGCGCCGACTGTTCTCGAGTGGTTGGACGAGCGGCATCCGGGCAGGTTCGGCAGGTCGCATCTGCGGACGCTGCAGCGACGTATGCGGGACTGGCGCGCGCTGAACGGGCCTGAGCGTGAGGTGTACTTCGAGCAGAAGCATCCGCCGGGACGTGAGGCGCAGATGGACTTTACGCACTGCGACAGTCTGAAGGTGACGATAGGCGGAGAGCCGTTTGCGCATATGGTGTTCGAGTTCATACTGAGTCATTCGGGCTGGCGCTACGCGCAGATATGCTTCAGCGAGACTGCGATAATGCAATTAGGCCATCTTGGCTCGTGCCTGACCCGCAGTGAGACTGGCAGATATGCCTTCCGAACGATCTGTCGGCTCGTGTTCGAGATGGCCACACAATACCGGAGGCCTAGATGGGCTGTGACCTCATAAGAGCTTGGCAATGGAGCCTCATCGCAGTCTTGTCCGCTCATCCGGCCGATGCACCACCTCCAGGAGGTAGACATGACGGGAGTCGGCGGGCACGAAAGCAGTAATCGTGATGTTCAGGTGATAATCGGAGTCGACACTCACCAGGACCAGCATGTGGCGGTCGCCATAGACCAGCGAGGTGTCCGACTTGACGAGAAGCACGTACCCGTTGCTACCTGCGGGTACGAGGAGCTCGAACGGTGGTCGCGCAACCTGGGACAGATCCACGCGTTCGGGATCGAAGGCACAGGCTCCTACGGTGCCGGGCTCGCACGTTTCCTGACCAGTCGGAACTACACGGTCGTAGAAGTCAATCGACCCGACCGGTCAGTTCGTCGCCGCAAGGGAAAGAGCGACGCTACTGATGCGGAGATGGCAGCGCGCGCAGTGCTTTCAGGGATTGCCGATGCCATTCCCAAGTCCGGGGAGGGCGAAGTAGAGATGATCCGTATGCTCAAGAGTACCAAGGACTCGGCTGTAAAGGCTCGCACCCAAGCCATTAACCAGATAAAGGCACTGGCTGTGACAGCTCCGTCTGAGCTTCGAGAAACACTCGATGGTCTCACTACCGCCGCCCTCATCACACGGTGCAAGGGTTTACGTTCAGGTCGCCTGGACAACCCCAAAGCGGCCGCGAAGTACGCACTTCGTTCGCTTGCCTGCCGTTTCCGTCAACTCAATGAAGAGGTTCAAGAGTTGGAGACCGAGTTGGAACGACTAACCAGCGGGATAGCGCCCGTTCTGGTTAGTGCCTTTGGCGTAGGACCCGACACGGCTGCTGCTCTACTAGTCGCCGCCGGCAGCAACGCTGATCGCCTTCGCTCCGAGGCTTCCTTCGCTTCCCTGTGCGGAGTCAATCCAATACCCGCTTCATCCGGCAAGACTAACCGTCATCGTCTCAATCGCGGTGGAGATCGCCAGGCTAACGCGGCGCTCTATCGCATTGTCATCATCAGGTTGCGTTACGATCCGCGGACCCAGGAGTATATGCAACGACGAACCGCAGAAGGAATGAGCAAATCTGAAGTCATCCGCTGTCTCAAACGCTATGTCGCGCGAGAAGTCTACTCAGCCATCCAGAAGCCCAACCAGATACTCGAAAAAGCCGCTTGACATGTATAAGAGCATCGTTCGTGGCGCTGGTGAGCGGACTGCAGGGAGCGCTGTGG